TGTTAATAACCAAACGACGGCTGAGTTATGTTAGCCACATTTATGTAAAAACAAAGAAATTAAGAGGGAAAGATCTTGCGGAGATTCCCCTCCGCCATATTGGGATCGTGGTAACTTCAGTTGTGTTGCCATTATGGCTATTTGTGTTTTTGAGTTGTCGTTTACTCAACGTCACCCTTTGCGATATTAAAGACGAAGAAGAATAACTGTTTGTTCAGCAAGTTGTAGCTGCCAATGTGCACAGTTTGATAAATTCTCTAATGAGGTACAGTCTTTGGCTCTACGTCTTATATACATTTGTATAAGAAAATACTTTACTTGGAAATATTCAGAATCTTCAAACTCTCGCGGCCTAATTGACGATAATCGTAATATGTGGATTTCTATTGGAAATGGGTTTTTTTTTTACTTGAAATTTTAAGAGTTAACGCATAACCATACCATGCATGTATAGTTGCAGCATGATTTGTAAGCCACGGTTTGTCAAATTTAATTCTCAATATGGATGCAGTTTTTTAAACTCCTCGTTTAAAATAAAATGTCTGAAATAGTCATATTTTTTTACTACTATACACTCACCTTCCAAACGTATTTATAAGTGTAATTAACACATAATTTTAACTATCGTCCACTGCAAAGTTCCAAATTACAGGGGTCAATTTAGACTTACAAATGTTTTTAGAAGTCCGGAACAAATAGTTGTCCACCTCTTGTACTGTGAACGGATGAACAAATTTCACACATTTGCTATCATCATATTAGTTTCAGTTTGTTTGTTGTCTGAAACTGAGGTGCACCTTTTATCTAACTTCATATGTTTTATTTGAGTTCCATTTGTTTTAACCTTTATCCTTTAATCTCTTTTTTTTTCTTTTTCTTTACGTTCTCTTTCTTTCTTTATCCCTTCTTTTTGTTCGATGTTATTTTTTTCGAATTCTCTTACTTATAATTCGCATCCTGTCATTTTTATGCCCCCGCCGTAGCGGTGGGGGCATTAAGTTTTACCCTTGTCCGTCTGTACGTCTTTAACTTGAGTTTGCCTCAACCAAATGTTATGAAACTTATATACAATGCTTATTACCACAAAACACAGTTTGAATTTTGGTGGCGTCACTTTAACTGTTCTAGAGTTATGCCCCTTTATAAATGGAAAAATTGCTAAATTTTTAGTTTCCGTTCTCTAACTTAAGTTTGCCTCAACCAAATGTTATGAAACTAATACACAATGCTTATTACCACAAAACACAGATCAAGTTTGAATTTTGGTGGCGTCACTTTAACCGTTCTAGAGTTATGCCCCTTTATAAATGGAAAAATTGCAAATTTTTGATTTTCTTCTAAATATCAAGTAATTTTTAAAATTGGAGTTATATTCCTTTGTGCATGATTATAGTTGAATCAACTACAATCAATGCTTTATAAAATGCAATGTTTAACTTTGACTTCCACTGATAAAACACAGATCAAGTTGAATTTGGGTAGTGTCACTTTAACCATAATTGAGTTATTCCCCTTTATAAATCGAAGGATTGCAAATTTTTAGTTTCCATTCTGTAACTTAAGTTTGCCCCAACCAAACAATATGAAACCTATACACAATATTCATTACCACAAAACTAAGATCAAGTACACATGTTTTGTTTCCGTTTTCTAACTTTAGTTTGCCTCAACCAAATGTTATGAAACTTATACACAATGCTTATTACTACATAATACAGATTAAGTACGAAATTTGGTGGCGACACTTTTACCATTCTTGAGTAATGTCCCTTTATAAACATAAAAATTGCTGAATTTTTCGTTTCCGTTCTCTAACTTTAGTTTGTCTCAACCAAATGTTATAAAACTTATACACAACCGTTCTAGAGTTATGCGCGTTACAAATAGAAAAATTGCTGAATTTTGAGTTTCTATTCTCTACTTAAGTTAGCCTCAACCAAATGTTATGAGGCTTACACACAATGCTTATTACCACAAAATTCAGATCAAGTTCAAATTTGGGTAGCGTCACTTTTACCGTTCTTCAGTTATGTCCCTTTATAACTATATGATATGCAAGCGGGGGCATCATCTGTGTCCACATGTGGACACTATCCACATTTATTAAGTTAAATCTTTGTTCTTTTAATTTAATGGGACCAGCGCCAAAAGTACTGACAATTTTCATCAACCGAAAACTACAACATGTTGCCCTAATCATGATAATTTTATTAATTCAATCCCGGACGAGTCCATAATTTCTGTTACGATTCAATATAAAGGCGTCACAAAAAATGAACAGTTTAAATTACAGAATGATTTCTTCAAAAATATAAAAATTGTATATCCCATTTAGTCCACTGATTCAGGCAAGTTACTTCTTGTTTCTAACGAAAATTCAAAGTATATTATCAAAGTTTGTCCAAAGAATAACGACCGAAGTCCATTACAGGAATGGACTTCTGATATATAAACGATAATACTTACATTACAGGAATGGACTTCTGATATATAAACGATACTACTTACATTACAGGAATGGACTTCTGATATATAAACGATAATACTAACATTACAGGAATGGACTTCTGATATATAAACGATAATAATTAACTTCACAGTTTAAGAATCTTAAATATAATATAAATTACAATCAGCCTGTTCACATATATTGTTCGTTTGACTACTATATACTTGCAGAAAAAATTCTTTCAATCCATTTTTTCAAATCATTTTTGAATATGGAATGTTAACTATGAACGTGTATGAACTCAGACAACTAATCTCCTCATTTTGGGTCTATATATAATTTTAAATTATTTATTAGGTTTCTATGTTAATTTTATTGCTCGAAGTGTTAGATACTAGATGGAGTTAGTATAAATAGTGTAACAGCCAAAATCAAAACAAGAAATCACATATATGTGCTTTGAACGTCTGTTTAATTGTACCATGTGACTTTAACATATTTAAATATTAAAATGACCTTAACTGACCAACAAACAAAATAGGATTTCAGTCAATGTAGCAATCGTAGAGCAGCTGAATATAATTATTCGGGTTACGATATTTTCATGGTTAAATCATTTGCTGAAAAAGTAATCACAGAGCCAAGTCTAATCATGACAGTTTCTTTTGGTTCTAGTCAAGGGCAAAAACATCCCTGTCCAGCTTCAGCGAGTAAAAAAAATTATTACAAATTGGAATAAATTTGGAACATCAATGATTTTTTTGAAAATGTTTTTAAGAATGCAATTTGTGGTTGTAATGTCGAAAATGTTCAGTATTCCCATGGTTTAATCATAAAATTCAACTTTGAAGAATCAAAACTTCCGTATGCCCTTCATTTAACCTGCATGGGACTATTTATTTATACAAAATAAATAAAGAAGGAGATGTGGTCATGATGATTGCCAATGAGACAAAGGCTATCTACCAAAAGTAAAAGAAGTAGATGAAAGCATGCAATTATAGGCAACCGTACGGCCTTCAATAATGAGAAAAAAACCCATACCGTTTAGTCGGCTTTAGAAAAAGTCCTGGCACGAAAAATGTGAATGTAAACAATTCAATTGAAAAAACTTACGGCCTAATTTATAACAAAACAATTTACAAAAAAAAAACAAATATGACAGATATGAACAAACGACAACCACTGAAATACATGCTCCTGACTTAGGACAGGCACATAAAGAACGTGGCGGGGTTAAACCTGTTTGTTATTGCTCAACCCGGACCCCTCTCTAATCTGGTGGTTTTGCAGCACAACATAAGAACAAACTGTAAAATCCAGTTGCAATTGGCTTACCTCAAAAGATCGATACGAGAAACACAAGAAACTAACATAAAAACAACAGACAAAATGCACCGAAATAAGAGTCCTGGCAGTTACTGTTACTGTTCGATTTCGTTGCATTTCCGTCAAAACCTTTGGTTTTAGTGAACATCATTCGCATCGTCACTTCCTTCCCACGCTGAGCGAGCGGTTGAAAAAATATGATATTTTTATTGCACGAATTATTCGGCAAATTAAATTCACATAATTGTTCATCAGCACTGTTGTCAATAGGGAATTGTGATTAAGTACCTACGGAACAAACATTATTTCTAGTTTATTCCGTATAAGGACGAGCACGAAGACGCTTGATGAACTTTAATATTGCAGGGATACAGGCAGTACCCTCTATCTGGTAAATGACGCCAGAAAGGCGTGCATAATTGACGAATTTTTCCTGTGAAGGACATAACTCGAAAGTGGTGTTACAACTAATAAACAATTCATGTTCTCCCATACTAAAGTATCAACCATTCATGACACATGCATCCAACGGATTTAGTATTAATTTAAGCGTCATGAACAGTCTGAGAATTTAAACGCATGACAGGGACACATTTGTCATATTGTTCAAAAGTAATTCATACAAGCACCCGTGTTCACTCATTTCTGTATCTGTTTCAACTAATTCATCGGCGAAGATTATACATTGTTATATTTTTCTTCAATGGGTCTTCGATGTGTAAAGTCGTTATGGCGTGATATATCGAATGGCTTCATAGTTGGGTATTTGACGTCACAGACGTCGAGCCGTGCCGTTTTTTCAGGCGCACGAATGCAACCATCTTACATAAGCGCCGTGTAGCACTGAAGAGGGTTAACAAATGACGTGACGTTATTGTTATATTCGGGTACAACCAATGAAATAACCAGTAGTCATTTAAAATCTGAAACGACGAATATAGCCCTTCAGAGAACGAAAAAATCCTTAAAACTGTAATGCCGAAATAAATCTCGATCAGGCAAACTCTTAATATGTATCAGACAAGCTTTTTTGAAAGCTTTTATTTGTTTTTCTTAAAACAAGACCCTTCTCGAATGTGTAATGAATTTGTTTTTATTCACCTTATTAAAGGAAAAAAGATTCGAAGTGAATCGAATATTATTTCCAAATTGAGCTAAAAGGGGGTGTTGAAGTAAATTTACCACCGGAAGTTGCCTTTGCTTCTGCTCCAAAAATAAAAATAAGATGGCGGAAGCAACACCCAAGAAACCTCCTGATTGGAAACATTTGACTGAAACTGTTCACGACGCTGAATCTTTGAGACAAGAATCAATAAATGCCCAACACGACCATCTTATAACCGAAATTGAAACTTCTGATGGCCCTTTAGGAACGACGTTGAGGTATACTCCAGTTATCAATGCATAAAATCTCTGCATATTTATTTTTAAGACTTCTGTAAATCGGTTACTGGTGGTGTCAGTGCATTTGAATTTACTATATATTCTTTTTCAATACTTAAAACGAACATAAATTTGATAAAGAAAACTCAACATCGTTATTTGGTTATCAACTCGCCAATGACATCACAGACACAGAAGAAACATTATTGTTCCCATGAAGAACAGTGACCGTCTGGAACTCTACCAGCAACAGTAGCTGAGGCTCCCTCCTTTGTATCCTTCAAGTGGGAGCTTTCAACACTCTATTTCTAGTCTGTTCAGTCCCCCATTTGCCAAGTAAGTCAAATGATGGACTTGAGCTGTGCCGGCAGGATTATTTTCCTGGTACCACCACGGAAGCCAGATTGGTTCAGGCAAAAAAAAATAAGACCCCCCCTTTTATTATTATTTTTCCTTATTCTATTTTTTTTTTTCCTATCATACTTTATACTTGCTTTATATATTTTTGGTTTTATCTCATCAAATGACTCTTTCTTGCGCCCATCGGAAGCGTTGAGTATTGGCCAAGATTGACAGTTCAACGTACAATGTAGATGTAGATGTAGAAGAATTATCCTTTCTTACAAATAACACAAAAATGTTTAATAACATTGTTGCTGTCGTCAAGGATTTGTAATAACACAATAATGTCAAATGACGATGTTGCTATACTATACAAATCCTTGCTGTCATTGAAGGGCACAACGATTTCCCGAGAACTTACAAAAACTCAATATGAACCCAAGAACCGATAGACCTTATCACTATTTGGAAATCTGTGCCTCTTGAACTATTGACGTCATACAACAATCACTTTTCCATTGTGGCGTCAGATATTTTCTATTATGACGTCAAAGCATGTTTTTTTCTAGCATTCCACAGGTTCTGGTATTAGGACCCATTCCCAATGGCAAAAACCCTATATTTTTTCCCAATTTTGGGAGAAAAATTCCCAAACGATATCAAAATTCATTTTCATCTCTATTATTCATGACAGAGATATTCATTTTGTTCAACCGCTAGCTTTATGCAGAAAATCAGCAACAAGTAATGTGTAAATCCGAGTTAAAACATATTTGACTGAAAACAACAACATTGACAAACAATGGCTGCCATAAACGGGAAATGTAGACAATACAATACAGGATCAGATTCCGGGAGCGGATAAGGGTAATTCTGGGTTTGCCGATCAAAAACAATAAGTAAATAAAAAAAAAATCCAGGCAGGTGACTAAATACAGCTATGAAATATATACACCAGAATTGAAAACCAAAAGGTATATGAAAAAGAAAGAAGAAACAGGAAATATTTTATGCAGAAACTCTAAATTAATAGTTCATAAATTTTCATGTCAAAATCAATAAAATTTTGAAGGGCCAGTAAAAATCTGGAAGAGCAAGTGAATTTAAAAAACTGTTAGTCTGCTTGGCCAGTTAAACTACGTCTTATTTCTGTCCCTGTATTATTTATTATATTCACCATGTTAACTGTTACTGTCTATGAAGATAAAAAAGGCGGTAAATTTTTATCATGTGTGCTTTAAGAACTACAATATTGTGATACTAAAATCAACTTGAGTGCCTTGTGTTGTTAAGTTTAAAAACAAAAAAGAACAGAAAATAAAATTGTAAATAGCAATCATGTAGTTTCTTACTCTATTTTCACAAAAAAGGATATTTTTTAGTGAACTAAACACACTAAAACTCACATCTGGTATATTTGTTGTTTTCCCAATTTCATTGAAAATCGCGTAAAAAAATTCCCACACTGGCCAGGGTCCTTTTTCCCAAAATACCCAGAAAAATCCCTGCAAAGTTTTACAGGAACCTTTGTGATGTCAAGTAATGGCGGACAAATAGCAATTTGGTGTATGGATATTACCCGAAAACTCAATTTTTTAAAGTGTAATATTGTTTTAATTGATAATAAGGACTATAATTTTGAGATGTTTGTCCTTTTTACTCAATAAAAGTATAATTTAACTTCAAGAACTTGATTTGTGTCATAAGCAAATTCCTTGTACAATGTATAACAATTTGGCGGCGGTAATTATTCAAAAAGTAGGTAACTGTTATATGTTAAAAATTCTAAACTCTAAAGTTATTTAAATTTTATAAACTACAAAAGTAACCTGCACAAGACACAGGCATACTTTACGCAGTCTCAATATTTACGTCCCTTTATTGTTATAAAAGGCACTTGCATGAAAGACAGACCATAAAAGACACACAAATCCTACTTTTATTAGTAAAGATGACACATATTTCAAAATTATAGACTTCATTGTCTATAAAAGCAGTATTACTCCACATTAAGTAAAGTTTTTGGGTAATATCTATGGGTTCTCATATTCATTTTGAGTTTTTTTGAGTTCTTGGGGGAAATCGTGGTACCGGTCATTGACTGCTACCATCATATACCCTAATGATTATCTAGTCTACAATAGAAAAAGTATTGTTAAAGTCAAATCACAAAATCTTAATTAATCTTTACAATAGTATACACTATAATCATAAATGTAACATGAGCTTTATTCTGAAGTAAGGGGCAGTTGGGAATGATGCTATACACAAGAGTGAACCTCAAATGACAATCTAGATTACAATAGTGTACATACTTTATGAACATCCTGGCACTTTAAATTTTGAAGAGGTGGGATTCCCGGTGTTTTACCTCAAATTGTATTCAGGTCTGTCTCAAAAGTGTTCATTGTTCATTCGTCAATGTAAAATTTCATGATAAAGTTTGTTTCTCAGATACTGTATATACATGTAATAGCAGTAATTTAGCTAGCTCTCTACATTTTTGTCTTTTATGAAATGATTTTCAAAATGTAAAAAGTGTTTCTGATCAATCTTGTCACTTAAATTGGTAAAAGTAATATAAAATTTGATACAAAAATTTGCAATTTTACCTTGTGACATGTATATTAGAAGGGTACGACCCCAAGCTTATTACAGAGTTCTCGATAAGTGGTGGTCCTAGGGATTTGACCACCACATTTTTGGGAAGGACCAACACAATTTTGGTAATTTGCAATAGAAATGATAGTGAGGACCTGCATATTTTCTTCAAGGACCACCAGGCAAAAAAAGATATTGAGAACTCTGTTATTAACGGCCACAACAGGTGTCATAATTTTGTGTTGCAGGTAATCTGCTTATCTGATTGGTCCTTAATGATCCAAAAATTAATTCATTTGAAAAGAATCTGTCAGTTGGAATTTCTATTGTGTAAATTTTCATACAATTATATTAAGGTAATTTACAGAAAGACGAAAACTGTAATGAACTCATTGGATAACATTACTTTATCCATTAAATTTTTTAAAATCAGACAGGTTTTCTCAAACTTGCTGCCTACATAATGACAGCCATGATATTGTATTTAATTCTACTGTATATATAAAGCCTTGAATAGGAGAATTAGTTCCAAGAAAGATAACTCAATTATCACCTCAAGATTTGTCTCTATCACTCTCACTATAGGACTAGCTACGGAACCGTAGCTCTTAGGTCCTTGTGATTATTTTTTGTCAATTTACAGACCATCGAGCTACAGATATTTCCTATTTCAAAACGATTAAGAATTGAGACCCAGGTTCAGGTCACACTTATTTCCCAAACTTTCATTGTATATGGCCCGTGCACAACTTGTCAATGTAAACAGTTCATTTTGTTATATATTTTTCTATGATATTGAAAAAAAAATTGTGAGCGACACAGACTCATAGAACCTCTAGTTATAGAAATAACTGTATTTAGACCTTGATCTTAATGACTTTCAAAATAAAGTTTAATCATAATTAGTAAAGCAGGTAAAACATAAGTGTGCACTCAAGTAAAAGTTTAATTAGATTAGATTTTGATATTTGTAAATAATTTTAGCCATTTTTATACGACCGCAAAAATTAAAAAATTTTTGGTCATATAATGGTATCACGTTGTCGTCGTCGTCAGCATCATCCGAAGACAGATGGTTTCCGGATAATAACTTGAGTATAAGTATAATAGAAATCAATAAAATTTTAACACAAGGTTTATAACCACAAAAGGAAGGTTGGGATTGATTTTGGGGGTTATGGTCCCAAAGGTTAGGAATTAGGGGCCAAAAAAGGGGCCTAAATAAGCATTTTTGCAGTTTCCAGACAATAACTTGTGTTTAAGTGTATGAATCTCTCTGAAATTATACCACAAGTTTCCATACAACAAAGGGATGGTTATGGGGGGTTATGGCTCAAACCAGTTAGCAACTAGGGGCAAAAAAGGGGGAAAAACGAGGGTTTTTATGGTTGAAGGACAATTTAGACAATTTAAAAGCAGTGTAAGGGAGGTAATCCAATCCATTTAAAGAATACTGTTGTATATATGTTTGATTACCTCCTTTACACTGCTTGTAAATTATATATTAAGAAATGATGATTGTAGAAGTTACTATTAATTAATATTAATTTTAACCATGACTGTATGTCATTTTATATTTTAATATTTTATGATGTATTTAAATGAGTAGTTATGGTTGCAAACTCCATTAGAAATTTGAATTGAGATTATTTTTGGAATAAGGGAAAGGGGGAGTTGAAAAAAATTTAGGGGGGTTAATATTCAACAGCATAGTGTATTGCACAAAAGCAAAACAAACGGGTAATTTTTTTTTTGGGGGGGGGGGGGGGGGGGGCAATTCGCAACAGCATAGTGTATTGAACAAAAGCAAAATATTGAATATAAATTCAAATCATATAATTCTTTGACTACACTTATTCTGTGTCAGAAACCTATTATGTGTCAAATATTTAATTACAATCCAAATTCAGACCTGTATCAAGTGCGAATAATGTGTCCATTTTGGCCGCAAATTTTCAGGGTTGGACATCTGCGGTCGTATCCAGCTGTGCTCAGCGAAGCAATTTATTTATGTTTTGATAAACAGATTAATTTTTTAAGTTTCAAGGTCCTGTGTTGTACCATTTATTTGAGTCGTTACTGAATAAAAATTTTTTTAGGAATGATTGATAAACTGATTTTAGATGAAAGTATATTTAAGCAACTTGTGTGCATGATGTCAGCATATATAGATTAGACTGTTTTATGTCTTTTTTTAGAGCTGTTTATGAAGGAGATGAATTAAGCAAATTCAGAATTCGACTTGATGACAAAATCAGAAACCATGATCGTGAAATTGAGCGCATGTGTAATTTTCACTACCAAGGTTTTATTGACTCAATCAGAGAACTTTTAACAGTACGACAAGATGCTGCCAGGTTAAAGGTTTGTTCAATTTTTTGATTGCTGTCTCATTGACATTTTCCCCATATCTCTTTTTATTCACATATTGCACAAATCACTACAACACATTAAAATAGTAAATCACCATAGTACAAACTTACTAAACATACATGTTATTGTATAAAAAAATGGTTAATGATATATATTTTTGATATAAATATTAAAAATTATTTATCATGTTTATAATACCTATTCATAAATTTCATTACATTACAAGATGTTCCTTTTTAACAAATATTTCTTAAAATTCTGTATCTTTGAACTTCATGTACTTTCGTACCTTCCTCTTTTGGATATATGCATCCACTTTATATAGTTTCAGAGGATATATTTTGTAAGTTTGTATTTTGTATGAATAGAAAAGGGATTTTTACATAGATGATTGGGAGATCCCAACACGTGAAAAAAACATGTCAAGGGTACAAATCCTTGAGGTCACTTTTGTTAAAGGTCTTCATTATAAATGCATGATTTTATTGGGGGAAAAGTGATGTTAATTTTTTACATATATGACAACAATGTCTTGAGTAATGGTATAATAAAAATGTTGAGAAAATGGGTATATTACAGGCCTATTCATCATTTTCATCGTCATTAATGATACACACTTATGCCTTCATCTTGTGTAGTTAGAAGTTTCTATGTTTATTCTGATTTATATGTTGCATACTTCATTTTGAAATCCTATTACATTTTAGTAGAAGTACATGTTATACATTATTCTGTTGAGGAAGAGATGGTGTAACATTTTTTGTTGGGGAGGGTTTTAAACATTTTTCTGTTGGAATAGAAATTTTTGAATAATAGTTGTTCGGTCACAGGAATAAAATAGTTGAGTACATTTGTATCATGATAATGTTGGAAATTGAAATGGAATTTTTATTTTCTTTAGGATGAAGTTAAGCAGGTAGACCAACATCTCCAAGAATCATGTGTTCCACTTATGACAAAAGGAGAAGAACTGGTCAAATGTAGGAGAATACAAGGCAATATTGCCACAGCTGTGGAGAGTCTAAATTTGTGTCTTCCAGGTAAATTAACAATTTAAAGGGAACTTAGTAATTTATTTGGGCATAAAATGTAAAGCAATCTATTTTATTCTGTACAAGCTATTGAATATTCATCATATAACTCTGAATGTCAAGGGTAATAAACAACTTTTGAAAAATTACCTCAATAGATAGTGTTACTATGCTCCTTTTGTATAAAAAATTTCTGTGTTGTCAGTAGTGCCCTGTGTTCTTTGAAACAACAATACTAATTTAAAAGCTAAATAGCAGCGTAATGTGGAAAATTGTGTTTTTGCTGTTCTTAATTTTTGTTGGTCATAATTATCATAGCAAAACATATATTATTGTGAAGCACTATAATGTGAACTGACAAAATACGATAAGGATTCTGGTATACCTCAACTTTTCTTAATTGGTAAGACAAAATCATTTGACTCCTGCACCTCTAAGGATAGGCAGTAGAATTGAAAAGGACAAAGTTCACTTTAGCCTCCTGCACCTCTTAGGATAGGCAGTAGAATTGATAAGGACAAAGTTCACTTTAGCCAAATATGGCCTTGAATTTCAAAATGGCCATTATTTGGTTCTTAAATGGATCTATTTCAAAAGCCTTACCACTAGGTTAAACAAATCTCTTCATAAAATTACATTTTAGGCTTCAAAATCATTACATTGTGGATATATTGTTAAAATAAGATGATTTTGTGCATTTTTCGGATCTAAAAGCTTGAGGCAACCCTTGACTGAACCTAGGATCCAAAATGTTCCGTAACCAAAAGTTGCCAATGATGATATTGAATTCGTGGGCACCAAAACTTTCTGGAACACAGGGGCAGGCCAAAGTAAATTATGCTAAAAACTGTTTAGAATTATTGAAAATTTTACCAAAATTGACGTTACCAAATAATGCATACTTTTAAAGGAGTCATTACTTAGTCATTTTTAATGTGATTTGCCAAAAAGTTATTTTGTATTGGAAGTAATATCACAACAATTTCTATGTGGAATTTTTGGCATATTGGCTTGATTGAAAAAATGTCAAAATCCTAGGGCTAATTTTAACCCTTTGTGAACTTTCTCCTTTGTATGCAATATTTTTAATTGTAAATTGTTTTACTAATGTATTTCGATAGAAGAATCATTTTTATTTTTCCAGTTCTTGAAATGTACCGTAAACTACAAGAACAGATGACAAGTCGAAGGTAATAATTCAACTTCTGCATTTAGTTTCCCTTTATTTTTACATACCAGGGTATGCTAATGACAACAACAAACAACTCAAATCTTGTTATCTACCAAATATTTATAGAATATGCCTGTCTATATTCCATGTCTGAAACGACACAAAATGTAGGGGAAAAGATACAGGGGTGTGGGGGTTTGGGGGATACACATTCGGAAGTAAAACAGATAACACTATGACCTCAAGAAATAAGACAAAGACAAGAGTCAACAATACACTACACAAAAAACTAAAGATAAGGCAACTAGATCCCAACGAAAAATCGGTGTTGAACTTGGGAGCTGAGGAAGGGTCAGCTGTTCCTGCTCAACACCATTACTTAAAGAAATTAAAGAAAAAAATCCATTTCAATGACATATTATCTGAATTTAAAGTATACAAGTAATGGAATAATCTTCAGCTGGAGAGTTTTCGTTTTGATGTCGTGTCTTTCCATGATTAGGATCTCCTGGATGAATCAATTACAATAAAATCAACAATGGATCTACGAATATAGTTATGGCAACATGCTCTATGGAAGTAAAAACCAAGGGAAACAATTCTAACAAATCAATCCCATTCAAGTATTATTAGGTATGCAAATCATAAATAAATTATAGACATTTAAATATGGCCAATAAGATATGAACCATACAACCATGATATAATGATTTTTTTTGACAAAAAGTCTTCTAATTTCTAGGTTTTATCCTGCATTGAAAACATTGGAACAATTAGAGCATACATACCTACCAAGAGTTAACTCCCATTGGTTTGCTCAGACAATGGCTGATGATATACCTAAACAGAGAGAAAGTATCAAAGAAGCTTCTATGTCTGACCTGAAAGATTTCCTAGAAAATATTAGAAAGCATTCTGGAAAAATTGGAGAAGTTGCCATGTTGCATGTAAGAATGGATTTAATATTATGGATATCTAATAACTTTCTGAAGCAGTAATATAAATGACACAATGAAATAGAAATAGGAAATACAGAAATTGTGCATTATGGGAAAATTGTTTTTAATTCTGTCAAGGTTTTGAATATCATTTTCAACAGTAACTATAAGGATTGATATTGCATTTCTTTTATGAGAAATTTAAAAACCAAGTCTTTTTACTGCACTTGTTTTCTAGGCATTCCCCTTTCACAATACCAATTGACCAAAAATTTGTTTATGTTGCAGTGTGAATAAATCTCTTTATACTGATCATCTGGTGAGAAAAATGAGCCCATTGCTAGTGGCAAAAAAAAAAGTCATTGTGGTTTTTTGTAATTTGAATACATTTGTCTCCCACTCAGTGTGACATAGAAATACTATGCATCCATTTGGCATCTGTCCATCCATCTGTCTGGTCATTCAAGCTATATTACACCTACATTTTGTCAGATTTTTATGAAATTGATATCAAAGGTTTATATCAGCAGTGTCTCTGATAAGTTGGACAAAATAAGACTTAAGACATTTTATTTTCACTAAAGCCCCCACATTGGGTATGCTAGTACAACATTTAAAAACAATACAAGTGTGAACATATTAACATTAGAACAACATGGTAAACAAAGGTACAATAATAGTATATATAATGAATACTGATATGTGATGCATTATAGTAACATGATTAAGCACATGTATTAAAAGGTTTAAATAACAATTTTGCTATTCCAGTTAGTGTAAATAAATCTGATGTATTCATCCGTTCTTTAAATTTTAAAACGTTTGGGTTATTACATATATTGAAAGGTAAAAATTTAGCTCTTACATTGTTGAAAAAGGTACATTTGAATAAGTAATGAAACTCATCACCAAGTTCATTAGCATTACAGAGATTGCAATGTCTTTCAGTTCTATCAATATTAAAAAATCTGCCAGTTTCAATGTAAATGGGCAATTTATTATTAAGGCAATAGAATTTACATAAATACATTCTTAGATCAGATGGTAACACTGATAAATATTTCTCAAAACAAAAATCAGATTTGTATATTCTTGAGATCAGGGTAACCTATTTTTAAGGGAGTAATGCCCCTTGGAAATAGAAATAATGAAAATTACTTTGAAAGGGCTCTCATGTCTAAAATTCAAGTTTAATTTTTATGAAAAGGTAAAAACAAAATAACATAAATTATTAGAGTTATTGCCATTTTGACAAATAAAATATTTTATATTGAGCAACCAATATTATCTCCATTTCATTTCACATAACATACATTTTTCACCAAAATTTCTAACAAATTTTGATTTCTTTTAAAAACACAAGCAGTAGCTTAATAATTGGAGACAACTTTACAACAAATAACTTATGAACTGTCTTTATAATTATAAATATGGTGGATTAAAATACTAATTGTTGAGTTTTAATAGTTTAAATTTAATATAATAATTTAGTGCCAATATTTTCTATAGAGCAAACTTACCAACAATTTTGGCTAAAAAAATATAATTGTATCTTTTTTTCTGTTTCAAACATTTTCTTTATGTTATAGGCAGCTGAACAAAATAATATGGATCCTGCAATTGTAAAAGCTACTCGCAAGAAAGTGAAAAAGAGAAGAGCCCCTCCCCCACCAAACCCCTTCACAGGGGAAGTAGATGCCCCACCTTCTCCAGTCATCCAGGATGAGGAGGAAGAAATAGAAGATAGTGCAGTAAGTTTTTATATAACAATTTATGTTCCATTATCATTGTCACCAATGATTGGATTTCTACATAGAATTTTTCAAAAATAAAAAGCTTGTCAAATTTTTGCCGATGCTTTATTTAAAGAAATTAAGTAGGATTGTGTTCAAATCACGAAGTTAACCAAAAAAAAAAGGGGGGTAGTGGAGACTATCAATTTTATAAGTTAGATGAATAATAATTATTGTTCAGTCACCAGTGTATAATTGATAAACCTTACATTGTTCATGTGAGTAAGTTTGAATGTTCAAGTCTAAAGTGTGCATTAATTTCTAACGAGACTATATATTATTTTTATTGTTATATGTTTTTCATAAAAATTGGCTGTCTTGGAAATGGTTGATAGTTTTTAGTCTAAACTTAAAGCTAGTTACAATGTGAAAACATGTACATTGAATATTGTCACAAGAGATGTATGAAATAAGACATGCACATTTTACAGGATAGTGATTTTTTAAGTGATGATGATGATGATTGGGTGAGATGTCTTTTGAATATTTCCTGACCATCTACTATCAACACAATGCTTTTTACACTTTTTCAAAATGTTTGAAATTACATTCATTTCTTGTTTTAATATAGTTATTGAATAATGAAAAGAAGAAATTTTAAACATTATTTAAAATAAGAATTTCATTGCACTTTAATTTGATTGGTGAAGTCAAGGAAAAGATTGCACTTGTGCTGATATCCACCATACAATTTTCCAATAAGGGAAAAATATTTGTGTATTTAAAGTTTCTTGGCAAAGAACTATAGGGTTTGTAGGTTGGGATTTTTGTTTGTTATGAGCCCGAACATGTTGTCTTCACAAAGTATGGTTTTTTGCGCCTGTCCCAAGTCCGGAGCCTCTGGCCTTTGTTAGTCTTGTATCTTTTTTAATTTTAGTTTCTTGTGTATAATTTGGAGTTTAGTATGACGTCCATTATCACTGAACTAGTATACATATTTGTTTAGGGGCCAGCTGAAGGACGCCTCCGGGTGCGGGAGTTTCTCGCTGTGTTGAAGACCCATTGGTGGCCTTCGGCTGTTGTCTGCTCTATGGTCAGGTTGTTGTCTCTTTGACACATTCCCCATTTCCATTCTCAATTTTATTTGTGTATTTTGATTAATGGTTTACCGACATTTCACCATTTGTGATCTTGTTGATGAACACAATGATAAGTGTAGTTTTTATCAATCTGTCTTTTTTGATAGAATGAGTTGTAACTGATATGTTGCAGAAGAAATCCTAATGAAAACAGTAGGATCAGATAGCTACAAATAAGGGTCAATAGAGACACTTTTAAACACATTTATTTTTTTATATGGCCTAACCAGTCTTCCACCAAAATTTTTCCAGAAATCCTCCTTAATATTTATATCTTCCAGTACACTCTTTTGCCTGTGCACTAAATTTAACTATGAAAAAATAGTATATAATCTGTAGATGAACTGAATTTGAGTAAAGTTTTCAAGAAAACTGCTTGATATATTTGATTGATGTTTATTACAGGAACTAAGTGCCCAAGATCTGATAGATTTCTCTCCTGTGTATAGGTGCTTACATATATACAGTGTATTGGTGAGTAATTACATTATGATTTATAGGAGGTATTTAATTCCATGATTCTGTTATTCTTAAACACCTAAATATTATTTTTATATTACAATACATCAAGAATGCTCCATTTAAATTTGGATATCACAAGAGAAAATGTATGATGTTACTGGGTAAAATATATTTCTGTATTATGTTAAAAGGTAAAGTGTCACAACATTTCATGACATGGATTGCAGAATTCCAAAAATTCTTGTTTTGTATGCACAGTTGAATGATCAGATAGTTTTTATACGACCGCAATAATTAAAATTTTTTTGGTCGTATATTGGTATCATGTCGTCGTCAGCGTCGTCCGAAGACAGATGGTTTCCGGATAATAACTTTAGTATAAGTAAATAGAAATCAATAAAACTTTAACACTAGGTTTATAACCACCTAAGGAAGGTTGGGATTGATTTTGGGGGTTATGGTCCCAACTGTTTAGGAATTAGGGGCAAAAAAAGGGGCCCAAATAAGCATTTTTGTAGTTTCCAGACAATAACTTGTGTTAAAGTGTATGAATCTCTCTGAAATTATACCACAAGTTTCCATACTACAAAGGGATGGTTAGGTTTGACTTTGGGGGGTTATGGCTCTAACCATTTAGGAATTAGGGGCAAAAAAAGGGGAAAAACAAGGGTTTTTCTGGTTAAAGGACAATTGAGACAATTTAAAAGCAGTGTAAGGGAGGTAATCCAAATCAAAATCCAAATCAATTTAAATAACAATGTTTGATTACCTCCCTTACACTGCTTGTAAATTATGTATTAAGAAATGATGATTGTCTGAGATACTGACCATAACTTGAGGGAAAGAACTATTTTTTTGAATAAGGGAAAGAGGGGAGGTGAAAAAAAATGGAGGGGGACAATTTTTCTCATTTCAGATTTCAGAAATTAAAAGAAAATTTCTTCAAATATTTTTTTTTGGGGAGTTAATATTCAACAGCATAGTGTATTGCACAAACGCAAAAAAAATGGGGTATAATTTTTTTTTTTTGGAGGGGGGGGGGTCAATTTGCATAGTGTATTGCACAAAAGCAAAAAATTGAATTTAAATCCAAATCATATAACCAATTTGAAGTTCTTTGACTACAGTTATTCTGTGTCAGAAACCTATTATGTGTCGAAAATTTAATTACAATCCAAATTCAGACCTGTATCAAGCGTGAATATTGTGTCCATTTTGGCCCCAACTTTTCAGGGTTGGACATCTGCGGTCGTATCCAGCTGCTCTCAGCGAAGCAATTTATTGTTGTTGTAATCTGGAACTAATAGATAATCAATGTATTAGTCCCAGTTGTGATTAATACAGTTACATTGGTTTTTGTATCAGGATTTGGTATGTACATTGAACACTGCAAAAGAAAATGAACTTTGAATCAGTTTGACACCTTTGGATAAAAACACACGATTTACATAATACATTAAAGATATATTGAAAAGAACTTAGAATTATTATGCTGTTGAGAAAAGTTTCTAATGAGCAGTTATTTACAAATTTATTCATTTGTAATTAGTTTGGGATGATAACTCCAGTTTGCTTAAGCCAACATCTATCTTACTATAAATACTGTTGACCATAAAATATCACCTGATGGTTTAGAATGGGAAAAAAATGGTTGATATCTTGTGTGTGTACAAAATGGAAAAAAAATCAAAAGCACTTTTTTACTTCTTTTAGGGAGATCGTGAAAGATTTGAAACATATTATAGAAAACAGAGATGGAAGCAAGCTAGGCTGTCATTACAACCACCGTCAAATATGGTAAGATTAAATAGTGTTTCACAGCGGTAACAAGTGTCGGTTGATGATACTGTAGATATATTTTTATTCGTGGGATGTCAATTTATGTGGATTTCGTGGATATAGGTATACAAAGAATTTAAATGTTCAACGAAGTACAAATTTTCTTTTGGCATGTATGCAGACTTTTGCAAAACCACAAAATCAAATATTCACAAAATTACAATGCTCCATAAATCCATGAAAATACAATGTTCCATAAATCCATGAAAATACAATGCTCCATAAATCCATGAAAATACAATGTTCCATAAATCCATGAAAATACAATGCTCCATAAATCCATGAAATTAAATGAATCCACAGTACTGTGGATTCATTATTATTCGTTGGATACCAATTTTCGTGGATTTCGTCGTTACCCAAGAACCACGAATTCAAATATTCAACGAATTACAAATCTTCTATAGGAATGTATGCAGACTTTGCCAAAACCACGAAATCAAATATCCACGAAAATGTAATTTTTCCTCAATCCACGAAAATTGGTACCCACGAAAATAAATGAATCCACAGTAAGTGAAATTACCAAATTGGTTCTTAATAATAAAAGTTTTGTTGTATTGGGAGGGGATGCAATGAATTCCATGGGTATATTGATTATGTGTCAAATTCAACTTTGGCAACAACAAAATATCATACGTTGTGGTGAGTCATAAGGGTACATTGTAATCTATTAGAAATTGCTTCACATATTATGATAAAAAAAAGATACATTTTACAAGATAGGCAAATCAGTATAATTTAAAGGAACAAAATTATGAACAGAGTATTGAATTACACTTTAAGAAAGCTAGATTGGTTTTTGTTTACAATTTTGTGAGCGGGAAATCAGTCTTTAACTGTTTAAGAATTTTGATAAAGTGAATATTTATGATTATTTAAAAAGATAAGCCAAAACAACAACATTATTATAAGAACTTGGATAAAGGAAAAAACATATTTTTCAGGAATTGTTAATTAAAGGTCATACTTCAGACCAACAGCAAACAGAAGTGAGATTCAAATTACAGGAAAACAATTATTAAGCATTATATTTCCTGTCTTGTTTTAATTTATTTGTATATATCATAATTCAAGCATTTTATTACAGTCATTCTCTATTAAATATCTAATAATAATATTGTAATCCACAACTGTTGTTTCTTATTATGTATGATTCTATGAAAATATATATAACTATATGTATTTAACATGTACAGTGAATCTTGTCTATATAAATCCCTGTGGAAACAGGAAAATGTCTGTACTAAACTGTTGTATTGGCATGACATCAGATGAATACTGTAAGGTGGTATATTTTTTCTGAGTTTACATTTCACAATTTGTAGGGGCAAACCTGTCTGAAAAGTAATTTTTTTGTTTCTTTCTTGTCCCCTATTCGAATCTTCCTTAAAGATGGATTTTGCATGACAAGATATTTTCCGAATTTATCTTGAAATAAGCCAAAATAAACTCCTTGTAGAAATAATCTACTTTAGATAAACTTTATGTCCAAAAGAGATTTGGCCTAGACCAGTTACACTGCATATTGTTTATTATGTCTTGTCAAAGAGTTTTTGTCTCGTCTCAAGAAATCTGCAGAATGAAGGACAAAGTGGTTGCTTTTCTGTTTGTATAAAGCTTTATATTTCAGAAGATCTAGATGCTTCATACTGTGTATATTGTTGCATTTTGTTACAAGTTTCTGTTTGTCATTTGTGGCCATTTTCCTTGGCTTCATTTTTATGGTTCCTTTAGGTCTTAAAAAAACTGTATAGTTTTTTTGTCATATAAATTTCTCACTTGTTATGAGTAATAGGATAAGGTCTACAATCTACATGTCCATCAGACCAGGTTCACCTGACATCAACTTCACTTCATGGATCAGTGATCAAGGCTAAGGTTATGTGATTAGGTCCATTTCTAAAATACTATATGCAAGGGGTCAACTATATTTGGAGTAAGGAATGATTGTAAGGTGTATAAGTTTGTCAAGCAGGGTTCATCTGACCTTGTCTTCATTTACATGGCTCATTAATAATGTTAAATTTATGTGAATGTTGTAAACCTTTATCTTAAAGATTTTTAATATAAAATCAATCATGATAATTAAAACAGGTGAAACACATCAGCATGTGCACTCTCATTATGCAAGAAGTTTACTATGGCAAAAAAAATATGCTTAAAAGCTTCTTTATATGTCTTTCTATACTATCATAGTGCATATTATCACAGCAATCTGTTGATTCCAAAATATTCTCAAGGTTAACACTTGAAATGTGAACATAAACTGCTTATCATTTCTGATGTATCTTCAGTCTTTAAGCTTGGCAACATGCCCAACAGCCTAGGCTTGCTAATTTTCTCTTGGGGCCTGAAAGAATTTCTACTACATACAACTAGAATCTATACGAAATTTTCCAAAAGATGAGTGTTGGGCTTGTGGCTGCAAAAGGTTTTTGTGAAGACTATCTTTCTATTGACATTAAAAATTTACAAGCATATTTATTATTGCATTTTAAGTTTCTTTCTCTGATCCATATGAGAGTAATTGTTTTTATCACAAGCATTGTAAATATTTAAAAAATATGAAGATAAATAAAAAAAAATTGGGGCAAACTAGGTAACAACCTGTTATTCTGTTTTGAAAATAACTTTGACAAATTTAGAAATCCTCAGAGTGTAAGAACTTTTATTTATGTCATAAAATATTATTTATGACTTGAAATTTGAACAAATCTCTTCACTGATTTGTGACAGAAATTTTGTGAGAACTATAGAATGAAATTCTGTGTGTATGTATTTTTTTCATTTAAAGATCTTAATTAACCTTTAGTTGGCCATGCTTCCAAAAATTCACTGTGTATGTGACTATGTGTCTAGAATAAAAAGAAGAGTAAATTTAATCCATAGAGCTCACATCATTTATTATAAATAGATAAAATGTACAGAGACCGAGGTTACTAGATAGTAACTCTTTTCCTTATTGATAAGAACCTATTTGTAGACAAACATTTGAGTTTGTCTAAATGAGAGGCATTTGTATACTGCATCAGTTTCTCAAACAAATATTTGCAAATTCCTTATTCTTTTTTAAATGTTTTTTTCAGCATGAGTCTTTAGATAGTTTTAAAAGATATTTTCATGATATTGTTGGGTAAGTACACTTAAGGAATAACAGTTCTGTGTTTGAATAGTTGCTACTGTCAATCTGTGATTTGATGGTTAGTTTTACTGGCTACATGGAGTCAAAAAAACATCAGTGTTCTCCCCAGGGCCTTCAAGGACCGCGGGCCCGCGATGTATATTTTTTTACCGTGGTGGTATCGTTCTTACCGCGATGTATTATATTTCTCCGTGGTGCTAAAATTTTTGGTTAAAAAATCGAAAATCGATAAAGTTTTAAACGACTTGTTAAATCTTTTCCGTGCGGTATAAAATTCCAGGTGAAATTTGACCAGTTCAAACCAGTTCAGATTGTTTACACCACGTGATCGATTTACCTTTATGAGGTTAACCTTTTTTTGTTGATTGGATTTAATTGATGTAATTAACACTTGTACAATGATTCTTTTGTGTTTTAATTAAGAGATCATAACTTTATGATCGTAGATAACTATTTTATGGCTTCACTTACCACCTGACAAGTCGGCAAATACTTTGTACACAAACCGTGTTGACCCGATAGTTGTACACACGACGGTACACATTTTGTACATTATAAAGTTAGCTCATTACGTATAATTGACCATTATACACTTCTCAATACTTATATAATAGTATTATATGTCTCTGATTAAACCATGGCCAAATTATCTTTAATTTTGACATAGTTTATATTGCATGATATTCCGGTTTCAAACTATCAAAGAGGACGGATCACATGACCAAGTTAGTTCACATAGAATACCCAAGATTATTTACAATTAACTGCAATCTATTCTATTTTATAAATAAAATGCATGACTGTACCTTCAAACTGGATATCTATATCCATATGACATGTATGATAATTAATGAATAACAGAAGTGATTTGCAAATTTTATCCATAAGCACATGTTAAATCTATTTATATCTACTTCCTGTCATTTAGGCGGGAAAATAGGGAGACTTAGTTGTTGACATTGAATAGGGTTACTTATAGATCTATAGAACTAGGATAAATTTATAGATTTAGGAATTCTTTTTAAATGGATCATGACAAAAAGATTTAGATTTCAGTGCAGTATTAATCTATGTTTGATTATCACTAAAGACAAGAAAAGTTAATATTTACATGAAATCTAAGGCAAAATGTTTTGAAATTTATGAAAAATTTCTTTTTATTAAAATTTAAGATAGAAACTGGTTCAAATAATAATACAATATTTATTCTTGTTAATTTTGTATCTCCTTATGACAGGAATCCTTTCACAATACAACATCTTTCATTCTAGAAATAAGAAAGTTTTTTAAATTAACATTTTTGTTCTCTTTTGAATGATATTTTATTCTTATTGATCATTGATTTTATAAAAGATTTAATAACTTTAAATTTAGATGAATATTTTGTAATGTATAATGTTTTATTTATTTTTAAAAAATATTAAAGTATACATGTCAAACTGTTTATTGATTTACTTCTCTTTTACCAATAATTTTCAATGTCTACATAACACAGTACCACAGCATTAAAACAAAACAGGAGACATAAAAACTACAGTTACCGGTACTAGAAATATAGCTAAGCAACGCGACACGGCGCTACACAACTGATTGTATGAATCATTTTACCAAGCAGTCCACACGCGTTACCCTGGTGCTATGCAAAAATCCTGGGGAGAACACTGAACATGTTTGTGACTGTCATATTTATAGACCTCATCCAATCAAAAGTGGCATTATACATCATATTTAATTTATATACTGGTATATATGTGCAATACAAATTCTGTATCTTGTGTGCCCATTGCTTAAATAACACAGGGAATTGACCATTGTCAAGAAAAACTATGATTATTGTTTTCTTAAATTCTAGAAGTCTGAAAACTACACATAATTTTTTGATTAAAATTTTTAGGGTGAAAATATACCTTTATTGTGGATTTGTTTTGCCCTTCATTTTATTTTGATTTTTTCTTGTTTTTGAAAAAAACATAGAACACTGTAAAAATATAAATTGTATGACAATAAAATAATTTATATAGAAGGATTACATATTTGCATTGATTCTGTTGTTTGCCCAAAGAACTTGGGTGGTAAGTAAATTGCTAATACAGGTAAATCAATAAGAAAATAGTGATGATTTAAAGAAAAAAAGTATGAATTTGAAGTACTGTCTGTTAATATTCATATGTGTACACGTATATAAAATTAAAATAAATTGCTTTCATTACAGTTTTTTCGTTGTTGAAGATCATATTTTAAATACAACACAAGGACTTGTTAATCGGGCTTACATTGATGAACTGTGGGAAATGGCAGTATCAAAACTAGCAGCATCCCTACGAACAAACACAGTATGTATAATAAATATATAAACTTAAAAATGGCATCCCAAATTGAATAGTGCAAACAACTAATTTTAAGAATGAATTATTAACGTGGCTTCTGATAGTAGGAAAAATAATATGAATATAAATCCTTGCAAACATGTCGTACCTAGATCTTCTCATTTATGAATTCATCTGCAAAGTTACATTGTTGCCAAAATAAAATGCTGCTATAAAAAAGTGCTAAACGTGACACATGTATTTATAGTTCTCATCCTCCATATCCTGATGGATCCTAAAAGAAGGAGAAGCAACAGTCAATAAACCAGAAAAACTAAATTAATATAGTCAACCAACTATTACCATGAAAGTTTTGATTCCCAACACTAAAATAAGAAAGAAAAAAAATTAAAATGTGTTCACGTATGTTACACACAATTTAAGAAAAAAGAGGAAGTATTGAGTCCAAAATTACAAAGCTGCATATAGTTTAGAGATACAATAGATAGGTATACAATACACAACAAAACAACTACCTGTTCCATACACAACTTGCTAGTGTAAAATTCACTTTTATAAAAGGTTACAAATGTTAATGTGTATTATTCAAATAGTTATGTCTGATTCACTATTTTTGCTTACATATTTATTGTTGATATGGTCCTTTACAGGTACAGTGTAAAGATACCAGTATGTTGTTGGATGTCAAGAACTTAATTATCTTGTTTTGCCACACCTTAAGGGTAAGATACCTTTATAACCTGATGTAGTAGGTGTGTTATAAATGTGTAGAGATGGAAGTAAATATTGACAAATTTGATTTGATTTTTGTGGTAAAGATTGCATTCATGCGATCAAAACTCTTATGTGGCTGGCTTGATAGTTATCAATTTTCCAGACTTTATGATAAACAAAATATACTGTATTGAGCATAACATTATATACATCCTATCCATGAACATTACAAGAAATTTATCAATGAAATATATACTCTGATATTCAAGTGACATGATGTGTATGTGTATAACCATACTTATCAAGAAAATAACATAAATTGTGCATGGTACATGAATCTAGTATCCAGGGTTTCCCATGGGTCAATTTTCTTTTTCGCCACCTCTGTCGCCAACACAATATTTTTTTTTGCCTCTTTCAATTTTTTTCGCCAACTTGCATAACATATTTTTCATTTTAAATTTTCCTACTTGCTAACAAAAAAACCAGTTTACAGCATTAATGTCTAATCTATTATAATCATGATAATTCTACATATCTATTTTTTATTCTTCAGTGTACATTGTAATAACTAAACACTCATTATAAACATTTACTTTTTAAAAGATACTGTAAAATTGCAATGTAAATCGTGAAATCATATCACATTTGACTTCTGGGAAAACAGGATTTAACTTCAATAAGTTTATCGGATCATTCCTGTCTAGTTGAATGATAAAGGCTAAGTCAGAAATTTTTCTTACTTTTGAACATTTTTCTTCGTAACAACAGTTTTCTTTTCCGCACCATCGTTAAAAAACTTGAAGACAAAAAACTATGCTGCATCGTTAAAATAATTAACCATTTAACCCATTTATAATAATAAGTCATTTAACCACACAATTTCATTAAACAATACAATCAACACCTTTATTAATTATTTCATTGTAGCCAATATCTATATCAAAATGCAATCAGCTGATTATTGATTTTCTGTCAAAATCGTAACGCTTGACAAGTTCAAGGTGAAATCCCAGTATTGTCAGATCAGGGGAAAAGTCTGAAAAAACAGAAAAAAGATAAACAAGATGGACAAGGAATTGTTATATTTCTATCGCCAATAATGAATTTTGATTGCCACAATTTTTATTTTTTCACAAAATGCGAAAATGGCGACCGCCAGCGGAACCCTGCTAGTATCTGTTCTAAAAATATCAATCATATCAGTAATATTTTATACTGGGGTTATCTTCCTTTGTCCATATTTGTAGTTGAACCTATTCATAGTATTGCCTTTTATTGCCCACTGCAAAATGAATGCAATCTTAACCCTTCAGTACTCACAAACACTTTGATTAAATATATAGCTTGATTATGATGATATTTAAATTTTTGTTTTCTGTTTTCTCATTTGAACAATTGCTCTTTAAATATCAATTGATCTTCTGGTAATGGTGATTATATTTATTTCAGGGCTATGGCTTTAGTGTTGGCCATGTACTGGAGCTGCTGCTTGAAATGAGGTGAATATTCATAATAAGCCTAATGAAGTAAAAAAAAAACAAATTTATATTAGATAGGAGTTTTTTTGGGGGAGGGGAGGGGAGTTACATAAAAAACACTGATATATTTGATCATTAGACATTGAATTGATTGATTCACATCAATTTCCAAAAGAGAAAGCATTTACATTTTTTGTGTTTTACAAATTTCCAGCCACGAATCACAGCATGTGATTCACAGGATCTTTGATCCAACTTTTTAACAATTTTATTGTTAAGGTTTATTCTTTGTGACAAGTGATTTAAACACAAGAAAAAAAACTTCAATGACAGCTTGAAAAAAAATGTGCTATTAATTAGATGTGTTCTGACTTAAAAAGATCAATCTTATAGTGCATACAAATGTCAATCTTATAGTCCATACAAATGTTAAATTTACATCCTTCTCATAGAAATGAGGATAAAGTGCATTGACAGTTTCCATCTATATATCCAGGGTTTAAGCTAGGATTTTGAGGGCTTTAGTCACTTTTGCACGGGATGAAAATCAACCTTATTTTGGGTAGCAGCAAGGGACCTAGGATGTATATTACTATCTATACATCTTTGTCAGACTTTGAAGGACTTGGGCATACTAGGCAGTTCCTGCATGATTTGACTGATGTGGCACTTTAATACGAAGATTAGGATATAAGATCTAGAAATCTAGTTCACAATTTCACCTTAGTTAGTTTTAGGGTACATTCCTTATCAGCAAAAGTTGGGATCCATTTTTTTTTTTAAACCAGGAATCACAGCATAAATGAACTTGTTATGACTATTTCACTGCATTATTCATACTCATTATCCTTAAAAACGTTTTACATCGATATTTAGAATTAATTCTATAAAGTTGGAATCAAGGATTTGTACAAATCCTTATTGGAACAATTCTAATGACTTTAAATTGTAAATTTATCATGAATTAGATCACGTTTACTTTCGATTTCCAAATGAAATGAAAACGGGAAGTGACTAGTGGATAATAAATTCAGAATGAATCCGGATTCATCTACGGATTGGTTCGTGTTTAAAAAAGGCAGGAAATTATCAGTTTTTAAATTGAATTTGCTAGATAAGAACTATATTTGTCTCTCTCGTTTAGTTTGATACTTAATTATTTCGTATTCTACGTTTTAGTGTCTTTAAATTCATAAGAATACTTTTGCACATGCGCAGTTCATCGTAAAGGAAGCACCTGTTTGAATGGTGAAAACATTTCTGAATGTTATGAATAAAGTTCTATCTTTTTAATCGAAATTGTCGAAAGTTTTGGATTAAAAGTTATATCAAATATGACGAAATATTGAAATTAAAATGCGAACTTTCCAAGGGAAAACTCAAATGACGAAACTACGACAAACGAACTGCAAATTGTGCTCGTTTGATAAATATTGAAATTGAAATGCCGACTGACTGATTTTACTGGGGAAAATATTTATGAGGTTGATAAATAATTAACGGATTAGTGACCCATCCGATGGCGATAATCACAACTTATAACACCTGTTGTATATGTTAATTAGCTGAGGGTCATAAACTTGTCAGAAACAATAAGACAGGTAGAATTATAGTATTTTCATGGGAAAACATTTTTACTCTTTCCAAATTTAAGTGACGAAATTGATTTGGAATACTTTCGTCATTTTGAAAACCGTTTCGTAATTGACGAAAATGACGAGCGCTAGCAAATTCACTGTATATATCAATCTATTTGTATTAAAAATATTACTAGCATATGTTTCATCTCATGTGTTCAGGATGTTTTTGGTCTTGCTGAATAAAGTCTTTACTTTTAAAGTGGTTTTCAGATTATGATCCCATGCATTCACTTCAAGTTTACAGATAATTTGAAACTTCATTATACCTTCAGAATATGGTATCTTTTGTCAGACTTTCCTTGGTTATTTTTGTCTCACCTGTAAGAAAGTCTTGAAGGCGAGACAGCTATCCTTCATTCTATCATTGTGCGGGTCATCAACATGTAAATTAAGTCTGTGGTTAAGGTTCTTGAAGACATTCTAGTATTATATTTCTTAACCTTGTCTTTACATTTATTTTACTGTATTAGCTAATTGTGTTCTCAGTGGATTTGCCATCGATCGCTGCACCTGCTATGACCCCATTACAGAGGCTGAATTATGTGTTAATGTAGGGTGACACATCTTCCTGCAGACTGTTATTTTGGGACCTTGCACATTAGAATTCCACTTTAGAGCTTGTCTGTCTAGAACAGTTTATATTCATATCACATCAACATGTTTTCATCCTGATATGCATGTAATATTTGCCACTTGAAGATATACACAAATCCATTCATTTATCCTTCTAAGAAAAAACACGCAGAAAATTCTTGATTTTTATTTTGCTATAATTGTGATGTATAGGTTTCGCAAGAATACAATTTCCATTTAAAAATTTTATAGCATTATTTGTATTCACCATTTCCTAAAATTGCAATAATTAATCTCTCATGTTTGTTCATTGTTCAACAATCGGATTTATAAATACACACAAACATTTCTGAATTTACATTATTCTTACAATAATGAGAACTTAAAGGAATTGCTTTGATGTATCAACAGTATAATTAATCAAATAATTTTTTTACAGAGACCAGTATAATGACGTACTGACACGGCAGTGGGTAGACATTTTTAATGAAATCTTCAGTGAAGATAACTATACCCCAATCTATGTTGAAACCATAGAGGCGTATACAGATATTGTCACCCAGTTTCCGATCCAGGATGAAAACTTGGAAAGGGTTAGTATTTGTAAGGGGTACTGACTATGTTCTCTCATTTTTTGTTCCATTTTAAATATTGTGTTATTTGTTGAGTTATTAGAAGGACAAATAACAAACCTTCTTTCAAAAGACATCTTTTGTGAAAATGTTTTTATGAATGACAATTAAGTCAGGGACAAAGATTCTTTTCAAGGAAGAAAGTTATGATTGTCAGATATCAACCTTTTTAATTGTCTAAATTGACATTTAGCAAAATAATGGTTAATCGATTTAATAGCAAAATTTACTGACCTTAGTATATCAACCAGTCAATGATTTTGTCAGATTCAGACAATATCCAAAATTCTGAGACATGGTCAGAAAAAAGCCTTACTCACTATTTATGCAGTTCTGATATTACACTAGTGCCCAGTCAAAAATAAATTAAATTTATATCTGTTGACTGTCAATCTAAAAACAAATTATGAATAAGATGTTCTTAAGTTATCTCCCCTATTATGACAGGTTATAGTGCCTTCTATACAATTGATATTATAAAATATAAGTTTTGTTTATGATAATTGATTAATATTCTTAATTAAGTCTCAGAAATTTGCTTGTGTTTTCATCAAGTCTTTAAACATGGCCTTATATTATTCATAGGAAGAATGACACTAAATTATTACAATATTAAAGCCCTCGAAGAGACTGACCAGAAAATATTTAATCTTTAACTATTTTCCCAATTAGTTTTTTATAAGAGTACCATTATCCGTAGGCTACAATAATACACATAAAATGAATGTCATTATACTATTTAAAATACACAAGTCCTTTTGATTATAGTTGGCTTTACGATTGAGTATAAGTCAAAATGGTGTGAGTACAAAATGGGTTGTAAATAATAATTTTTATTTATATGAATGTTTTCTCTGTATAAATGTTGTGTACTGATCATTATACAAACAATTTCATAAATCATACACATTCTGTGGAAGTTCTTTTATTTGTGGATGTCGATTATTTTTAAACTTAGATTGAGACTTCCCTCTTGATAAAAGAGGTCTCAGACTGTTTTGGCTGTAAGTTAAGGTACTTATGATGCTTCCCAATTGTTTATGTATTTGTCTTCCTGGACTCTTTAGTATTCCCGATGGAAAGCTATTCCAGAAACATGTGTTGTACTCACTGAAATATATATCATGTGTATACATGTGTTGTACTCGCTGAAATATATATCATGTGTATACATGTGTTGTACTCACTGATATATATATATCATGTGTATACATGTGTTGTACTCACTGAAATATATATCATGTGTATACATTGTTGTACTCACTGAAATATATATCTTGTGTATACATGTGTTGTACTCACTGAAATATATATCATGTGTATACATGTGCTGTATTCACTGACATATATATCTTGTGTATACATGTGTTGTACTCACTGAAATATATATCATGTGTATATCACATGTAACAAATGGATGGAAGAAATGCATTTTGTTTAAATGAAATTCAAGAAAATTGATATCCAGTAAATATAAGTACTTTCACAGTGGTAATATTTACCCAGTATTCTTGCAAATTATGTTCAGTAGTAATTAATAGTGCCGTTTCCCTAAATTAGAAAACAGAAAATTACAAATTATATCTTTCTGTACAAAAAAGGATTTTTTTTTAAATTCCGGAGAAATTGAATTTGAGGATAAGTATATACATGTGTTGTACTCACTGAAATATATATCATGTGTATACATGTGTTGTACTCACTGAAATATATATCATGTGTATACATGTGCTGTACTCACTGACATATATATCTTGTGTATACATGTGTTGTACTCACTGAAATATATATCATGTGTATACATGTGTTGTACTCACTGAAATATATATCATGTGTATACATGTGCTGTACTCACTGACATATATATCTTGTGTAAACATGTGTTGTACTCACTGAAATATATATCATGTGTATATCACATGTAACAAATGGATGGAAGAAATGCATTTTGTTTAAATGAAATTCAAGAAAATTGATATCCAGTAAATATAAGTACTTTCACAGTGGTAATATTTACCCAGTATTCTTACAAATTATGTTCATTAGTAATTAATAGTGCCGTTTCCCCAAATGAGAAAACAGAAAATTACAAATTATATCTTTCTATACAAAAAAGGATTTTTTTTAAATTTTCTTGTATTACAAATCTATAAAGATGACAATTGGACGTATGCACCATGGTACTTCTGTAATTTTTTATAGTCAAATTCTATAACTTAACATATTTATACCGTTTCCATATTTCCAATAATTTTGATTTTCCATTTTCTCATTTCTTAAATCACACAGTAGCATGTTAACCATAACATATGTTTCAAACAGATATCTCCTACTTATTTTTAACACTATCAGTGATAGCTTTGTACAAAAATTGGTCTTTTTCACATCTGAATATTTTTATAAAATAAAACTTCACAATTTAAAAAAAAGATTTTCTAAAGTCTTTTGATATGAATAAGAAACATTGTATGAATGAAGGAGATAAGGTTTAAATGTCATCAAGACAGCAACACATCAACATAGGTTATGTAGGTAAATATTGGCTCTCTTAAAATTTAAATGACACTTATAAGCTTGTACAATTTTATATTCTACTCAGGACAAAACTCCCCATATATATCTGCAATATTAAGATATTAATTGACATGTAAAACAGGTTGCAGCTCTTGTGAGTAACTACATATGTCCTTTTATTTGCCTTATATACTGATCCCATGTTTCACATGTTGATGTGTATATATTCTTCTCATAATTCCCATTAACCATGAATGCATCAATACCGCTTTGTAACACACAGGAGTTTAAAATCAGATAATTTTCTTCAAAATCTTATGTGAAAATTTTATGTAGTTCTTCAAACTGGAGGTATGTATTGAAGTTTAAATCTTGGAAAATAGCATTTTTTTCTGAAAGGAATGAAATTTTAAAGCCTTTAAAATTATAAATCTACTGTACTTTCTCTGGCTATTTTTTGAATGAACCCTCTATCATCTAATTAAATATTCATTTCGGTATGCATGTTGAAATCAAATATCATATTTTGAAGAATTTTTTTAAATATCATTCATGCTTTATTTTTTTTTTGTATGAAAGAAAGAAAAGTTTGATCTTTTTTTTTTCTAAAAACTTGTTTACAGGTGTAAACACTGCTTAATACAACACTGCCTGTCTGCTGCTTTAATATCATATTTGTAAATTATTCCTTTATTTTCCTCAGTTTTATATCATATTTTGATTTTTTTGGTTTTGATTATAGATTGTTTATTGAAAGATTCTAGATGAAACATTTGTGGTTATGCTTGGAAAGAAGATGTTAAGTTTTTTGTGTTTGTTAGATAGCCGCCTTTTCCTTTTACAATTAAATATTCTAATATATATAATACACATTTTACTCTTAAATTGACACATGTAAGTCTATAGGCAAAAATATATTCAAATGTCAAAATATACTTTTATAAGGCCTTGTTTTATCTCAGAATATTAGATTTATAATGTATGAACTGTTTTTTTTTATTTTCAGGAATCTTTTCCAAAGAGATTTCCATTCTCTGAATTTGTCCCTGATGTTTACAATCAAGTCAAAGCATACATCAATGCATGTTTAAAATACTCAGCAGATCTGCATTTAAGGTAAGTATAAAGATCACGAGAACAGCTATAAAGTCATTGTACAAAGCAAGCTACAGATGAAATTTGGAGTAAAATGAGACCTTCAATTTAGCTTTGAACTGTAAAAAACATAGTTTTAAGGCAGCACTATGAAACACTTGCCAAAGATTAAAAGATAACAATTTGCAGCTTGTTTTTGTTGATGATGTGCCAAAAGAGCCTAATTATGAGTACAAAGTTGCTTTGGTTTTCTGTTTATTTGAATATTAAGATTAAGATGATGTTAACCAATCAAGGCAGTGTATAGTTTTAGCCATTTGTTCATAATGTTTGTCTGGCCGTAAATACACCTGATGCCAGATAGGTTTTGAAAAAATCAACAAAAACTACCAAAGATTTGCTGTCATCACTGAAATCAGAAGACAACAAAAAGCATTTTAACAAAACAATGTACCTATCTAAGGAGAATACCATGTTTTTTCTATTTCATTGGATTTACAATTTAAAACCGGGATACATTTAAGAACCTTACATTTTGCAAGTAGGATTATAGCTATTAATAATTATCTGGTATATATTTTTAAATTGCTTTATTTATCTTCTAAGCATGAACATGTACTGAAAAAAAATGTTATTATTAAAGTGGAAATGCTAATTTTGGCATACATTTGAAGATTTTATCTCATTGCTGTGTAAATCTAATTGTTAATGTTTTGTGAACAAAAAGAGATGTTGGGTATAATAATAAAAGCACCTTCATATAAAATACACACTTCTCTTATGGTTACGGCCTGTTATCTATTTCTTGCTTGAAGTGATATTTCTCGTATCACACTGCACGAAGGGTGATACGAAAAATTTGCCGTTAATTTGATTGGCTTATTCAGCATCATGAGACGATATTACGACATTTCCATTTGCAATTGGTTAGGTCATTGATGACTTTCAAAGGTTAAGACGATGTACATTTCCTACATGGCAATGGACATATGTGTTTTCTTCAATAATATACAAAAACACTTACACTTTTCACATGAAAATCTTCTTTTTGTCAAATTTTATTACATTTTGAAGTGTACAAAAAGTTTTTAAAAGTCTGATGTTAAAGTTTGACGCCGGAACAGGACATATGACGTCATACTGGTATGTGCAAAAAACTAGATCAATGTTTCAGGGAATTTTTGTATTTACACAATGAGAGTGTGACTATAAGAGAAATAGGTTTAACAACTCGTGAAAATTGGATATCGCTTGCTATCAACTCTCGTTATTTAATTTAAATAGTAATAATAAACTCGCCACAAGCTCGTTTATTATTATATCCAAACTAAATAACTCGAGTTGACGTCAAGCGATATCCAATTCTTGCGCATTATGAAACCTGTAATTATATTCCTGTATTTGTGATTGGTTTTTATTAACTACATCATTTATATCATTGCAGTCACACAGAAATTGATGATATGATAAGAAAATCAACAAATTTGCTGTTGACTCGAACACTTGGGAGTTGTTTGTCTTCTCTTATAAAAAAACCTAGTCTTACATTGTTACAGGTATGTATTATCCATCAGATTCTATTAATTATTGCAGTGCCTTTCTAACATATATTGTCCTCAGACCGTTATGTTTTGGGGCTCAAAAATATGGTATTGTCAGAACAAAATTGTGGGAAATATTCAAATTGCATCTTTGAATAGTTAACCAAAATTTTTTAGATTGCTATCACTGGTAATAGTTAAGATTAAGATGAGCAGCCCATACTGTTTTTTCAGTATTGCTCTTATAACTATAATAATCATAGTGAAACCTTTGGAAATTGATATTGAACCTTTTTTTTTACAGAAAACTTTCTTAACTAAACTCAAGCAATGTGTATTCTTTAAAAGTTTTAACACTTTGAACAAATCGCAAGTCCCAAAGGGGTTTGGTTCATACATGTTTCACAGTATTATTATTATTATTATACCCCGTTCTTACTGCTCTGAAGGACAAGGGTATACAGCTTTAGGTCTGTCTGTTTGGTGTCTCGGACCAAAAAAGTTATTTCAGCTCAAAATCTATTTACTTACGTTGCTACCACTAATTGGATTTCTATTGATCTGAAAGTAAAAAAATCACTATGATAAAGGTATAATTTTATGATTTTTTACTAACATTTTACATCAAAGATTTCAAAAACAATAGTTGGTATGTTCTGTTTTAAGGTTTCCCTACAGCAACAAAATTGTTAATCATTTTTAATTTTTAATTTTAGTTAATACAGATTTCAATAAACATGAACTACTTAGAGAAATCATGTTTATATTTAGAAGAATATATTTCCAGTATAACTGGGTAAGTCTTTATTGTCAGTGATTGTATTAATATGAAAAGGCATATGGATAGTTGTAAATGAGAAAATGTCCAAAGTATATGAACAAAAACAGACAAGTGAAGTTTACACCATTGTGTTCAACAATGGGACTAAATCACAACATACAGAGACCATAAGATCATGTGAATAAATGTATAAACAAGCCTTAAAATCAGTATCAATAGACACAAAACATTAACATTGAAAGTGACAGTTCAAAACAAATAAAAGAAAGGCAACAACTGAATATCTTATTTCTGGCATGTTAAAACAGAGAGGTCATATAAATGATTTAAAAATCTAAAATTAAATGTAATGAAATGTATTACTCTCAATTATTTTTTCTTAAAATTAATTAATAAAGCCTTACAGATCAATAATACTTTAAACACATTTTGATAAGAAATAAAATATAAATTGGGCTTACATAAGTCTGTTTAAAGTTTATTCACTCATAAGAGACTACTTTAAACTCTTCTGTTTTTTATTTTTATTTCTTAACAAATGTTTCATTTTACCATATTGAAATTTAAATTCTGTAAAAAAAAATAAAAGACTAGAATCGAGTCAACTATTTCTGTATGTCTAGTATGATATTAATTTCTTTGTATATGTATAAATAAATTTAGTTCAAAAAATATGAAAATTGAAAAATGTTAAAGTCAGATTACCTTCAACATGTTCAAACAAAAATGATATGAATTAGGCAATACAATAGTAATGATTACAGACAGCACTTGTATACATTTAAAAGCACATGTATCAGGATAAAAAAGTGATTATTAGAAGCATCTGGAAAGGTTAAAATAAGAGTGCCTACACAACATTGGATAGGGAAAAAACCAATATGATAGGGTTCTTTATAAGCATTTATTACAAATATTCAATAATTCTCCTTTGCTTTCTCTTCACGCATACACTGCTGTATATTTATATCATACTGGAGTAAAATACGATGCTCCTGAAATTTGATTGGTAACCTTGACGGGATATCAGCCCATATCCCCTATGAAGATCCCAAAATATCATGTATATATGCATATACAGGTAGATAGATATATTGTTTTACAGTACATATGTTTTTTATTACAGTGCTCAAAATGACAGTGTTCATATGGCAAGATTACATGGTACAACCATGTTTAAGGTAAGTACATGATACTTATAAAGACTGTTATGAATTATTTTACCTAGTAGTAAGTTGAATAAGGAAGTACAAATGTACTTATGTTCAAGTTTAAAGGTAATAAAGATTAAAACCCCAAATCACTTGTAATATTGGGGTGAAAACTGTTATATTCCTTGCAAACTAAGTTTTGTCTATGATGTTTCTCTTCAACTGTCTGATAGGTTTCAATGACCTTCTCTCAAAGATAGATTACCATATGAAGAGTTGAATGAAGAAATATAATCTCTGACACCTTGTAGGGAGTTGTTAAACTTAGATATTTTTACGGTAGATTAAATAAAGGTATCTTTGTGTGAGCTCATTCTCAGCAGTTCTTCTAGTGGTCAGCATGTACTGTTTTAATTTTACAGCATATAGTTAAGTTCACTCATTAAAATTATCAACCTTTATAGCACTTGAGGTAGCCTGTGACATTACAGATTTCAATTATGTGATGTTCATACATTCTTTTTTCACGGTTTTAGGATGCAAAAAGTGATGCAGAGGAACATATATACAAACAGCTTAATTTGAAAATAGATGAATTTTTGGATCTTGGTGAGTTGCTTTATGACATGGTTTGAACAAGCTCATAATCCCTGCTTGGCAAGGGGAGGAAATGTAAATTTGACTTTTATAATGTTTTTGGCTCAGTTTCAAAGTTAATTGACCTTTGACCCTTTAAAAATTTACTTAACCTATTTTCATCTAAATTAATTATGTTTCTACAACACATCGAGTGATCTGTACAAGAAGATGTTAACCGACTTCTTACTTAACCTAATCATCAAGGCCTCTTTCACACTAATTATGCATAGCAATAACTCGTGAACAAAACTAGTTGAAGTTTTTTCGTCTGATAGCACTCATGTTTGGTTGGTTTTTGGATTAGATGTGTAGCCGGTCATATTATTCAGTCGTTTTAATTAGATAAGTTATTGCCCTTTATATTATCTTCTTTAATAAGTTCTGTTTCTTTATAACTATTTATGCATACCAGCAATATTTGGTATATATGTAACTTACAGCTAGCAAATAGACACTGAATATTTTGGGGGGATAGGTATGTTCATGAGAAACATGATAAATTAACAATATTTTTATGTTATAAATTTAAGGTTGTGGACCTTTAAATTTGTATGGTTCTACTGATGTATATGTACCATAAATCTGTTGTAGAATTATGGCCCTTTATGATGTATTTTTGAGAGTCAATGCCAATTTTCAAATACTAACAGTGAAGGAAGTTAAAATCTGGTTTAGATTTTAGTACGTAAGCTCCATTATTGAATATTCTAGAAAAAAGTTTTTATACACTTTATATATTTTTGATAAATTAAAAAATTTTTTTTTAACCATATTACAGCAAGCTATGATTGGTTGCTACCAGAAGCCAAAGGTCATGCCAGTGGCTATGTCATAGATTTAGTGGCATTCCTACAAAGTACCTTTATGTCTTTCACAAATTTACCTGTAAGTATATCAATAGAATATGAAGTACCACATTATTATTATGATGGGATACAGTATTATTACTGATTGTGTATATTATGTATAGAATTAGATTGTAACACTGTAATAAACTATTTTTACTTAATATAATTATTACTGGTTGTGTATAGTATTATTACTAATGCTGTCATGTCTGTTATATTTTCATATTTTCACCCAAACTTTATTTTCCTCTTTAACTCATTTTCTTTTTTGGTCCCTTTCATATTTTCTTCTGTATCGGTTTAGGATCAATTCATGCTTAAAAAACATTAAAGCACATGAAATTGATTGTGCTAAAAAAATAAAACCAATAACATCAGTGTGGAACATACATGTGTTATATTCTTTGACAATTTTGATTTGTTAATTTTGATAGAAAGAGAACAGATGATATTTGTCATATTACAAGAAATAGTTTTAGGGGTGGAATGAAAGGAAAAATTATAAACAATTGTAAATTTTTCTTAATTATGAAATATCACATTAGCTAGTCCCCTTGAACACTGGTGTTAAACTGATAATCGTAACTGGAATTACGACGATCCCAATATGGCGAAGGTAGAAATAGGTAAAATCTTTGCAGTCATGTTTCTCAAATGTAGCCCGTTGTTGTCAAGAGTTACTCAGCTGCAAGGTTTTTCTATACCATTACATCATATTTGAATCTTAAAGGTGCACTATAATTGTCTAAGCGCTTAGAAAATTGCCGTAGAAAAATTCGGGATGATAATCGTAACTCGCAAAAATGATAATCGTAATTTCGGTATTAGTAAATAAGAAGATAATTGTAACTGGATAGTGTTTCATTGGTATTGACACGAAAAACGTCTATCTAATAGCATATGATGAAAATATGGTGATGAATTAATCACGAAAACGTTCCCACATCTTATGACATTTCTTTTTGTGCATATATGATTAATAGTTCTAATGTAAACAGCTACATACTAGTATATATCATAAAATTGGAAGGGGGACCAGCTTCAATAAATTTGTAAATGGGGAAACAGGAACTATGTTAAAATACTAAAAACTCCGGGAACTAGGACCGTCACAAAATATGGGAGAAAATTTTTAAAAAATGTCATCATGATCTCTTCATGTTTAGAGTTAAAAAGAAATATTGTTTGGTATTCTATTTAAATACGGACTTGCAAAACAAATGTCACACCTTTTTGAATGTGTAAAAAGTTGTATAGCCCATAAATACTATAAAAATGCTTAGCTACTTTATGACCGTCACTGACATTTCGATATCTCAGAAAATAACTATAAATTTTAACAACACCAATTTAGTTTGGCATTCTAATAATATGACATCCTTAAAACGTTTCATGATAATATAAAGAGTAGAGAAAAGTTGGAATGCTTTGTGTGTTATGGAGTTAAGCACATGGTGACGTGGAGTTCATTGGCAAACATGGATTTGTGTTCTTTAATAGTTTGGCCAAAAGCCCGAAGATCAAGAAATCAAATTGATGTGGCCTTCAATTACCTTACAAGCTATATTTATTCAAAGAATGACTGCAACTTTAAGAAATCATAGCGCATATTCCGCCATATCAGAAACAAACTGATTTAAGAAATCATAAATACTTGGTATATGAAAAATATGCTGCATACATATGCATGGAAGTTATTGTAGAGAAAAAATATTGAAGGTAACAAAGAACATTTTTGTACTTGCATAATTACCATATACTTAGTACTTTTCTATCAAATGAAAACAAAAATTAGCCTTTCATAATTGTCATGCATTTTTCTGAAGCACAAAATATTTGTTTGATTATCTATTAAAGTCTTTGTAATTAAACCAGTTTCGACTGTGATGATCTACATATTATGCCTTCTGAGGACCAATACACATATATATATAATATATATTTGTGTTTTTTTTTCAGTCCTTCAAATGCTTCGCAAGACTATACACGCCATTTAGTTAAAGCTAATAAAAACAATAAACACAAGTAACAATAAACACAAGTAGCAATAAACACAAGGAACAATAAACACAAGTCACAATAAACAATAGTAACAATAAACTGGTAACTATTCTAGATCCTTTACCATCCACCCTGTTTAAAGAAACATCCTAAAATACATGGGTATTTAATCAAAATATTTGAATTTAATTTTTAAAATCATATAAAATATCAGTGTAAAACAGAACAAAAGTGAATTCACTTGAAAAATATGAACGGCTAGTTTAACCGGGATACATTTCACTCCAAAATTAAACTATATGTATTTCTATTGAAATATAAGGAAAAGGGCAAAATGAAAACTCATATCCACCAATCAAAGTATCAACTGTTAAATCCAATAATGCAGTTAAGTAACTGATGGAAAATTTAATTTTGTTCATTTCTTGCAGAAATTTAGTATAAACGAAGGGGTGGTGTCACTTCTGGCGTGCTGCTGAAATTAAAAAAAAATATCCCCTTTCATATATTGCCGAAGACCAAAAATCTGATCCATGTTATAACTTATATATTTATATAGGAAGTAACCCACAGCCACCCCCGTGGTATAGGGAATATTGAGATAGGGGAGGTTAACTTGCCCTTTTTATTGATTTAAAAGTCGATTGGATATATGCAATATTTGAGGCAAAACATATGGCATATTGAAATGTGGTATACAGGACTTTCATTTGAAAGGATTGCACTTTTGGGATATTGGATAATGCTAATACCACCCCCCCCCCCCCCCCCCCCCTGCCCCACTTCAAAAAAAAAACCTAAAAGCGAAAACAACATTGAAACTTTGAAAGAATTAAATTATCTATTTACCACAATAACTGACTCGACAGCTGCTTCATTTTCCATATCTTTAACAGGTACATGTATATATTAAAAGGTTATGCATATTGTTGTCAGTTATAAATCGAGATATATATACATGTAATTAAATTTGTCCTAAATATTAACCTGTAAGTTGCTTCATTATTTTTTATTTTGCGCGTTAGTGTCATCGTTTAACTGGACATTGCCGTTTTTACACACAAAATACCATTGACAAGCTGGAAGATACATTTATTATTTTTCAGTTACTATTATCCCATTAAGAAATTACGATTATCAAACAAGAAAAATGCCATCGAATTACGATTATCATCCCGAATTTTTCTATGGCAATTTTCTAAGCGCTTAGACAATTATAGTGCACCGTTGCGATTCAAATATGATGTAATGGTATATAAAAACCTTGCAGCTGAGTTACTCTTGACAACAACGGGCTACATTTGAGAAAAATGACTGAAAAGATTTTACCTATTTCTGCCGTCGCCATATTGGGATCGTCGTAATTCCAGTTACGATTATCAGTTTAACACCAGTACTTGAAGCTAGTTTAATTTGACCTGTTTTAGAGCTGTGTCAAATATTAAAAGCTTATCCCAAGTTTTTATGTTCCAATGTTTTTGGCATTACCTGCTTTATTAAAAAAAAAGGATAGTCTTATGTTATCTTGAATAATTCCATCATCTATTTCATTGGCTGAACCATGTTTGAATTCAGAAACAATTTCTTTGTTCTTCCTCAGGACTTGGTACTTCAATGATACACGTCTGTAAGAATATGAAAATCAACAAGGGAATAAAGTCTAACTATTTTAAACTTGAAGAAAACATAGCTGCATATATATATCAACAGTGATGTATAGTTTATTACTTTAAATCTTCATCATTTGGACTCTGGTATATAGTTGTCTCATTGGCAATCAAACCACATCTTTTGTGGTACATTTAGTATTTACTCTAAATTAAAAACAAAAATACCCTTAGAAAGAAGAACTGAAAGCATACATGAACAGTGACATAATATAAACTGGTTTGATGTGTATTTAGATAAAAGATTTGTTAAAATATCAATATTAGTTGTATTAGTTTGATAACATTCATTCATACATGTATACAACTTTCAGGATATATATTTACATCTATTGGTAAAATATTCTATTTCTTTAGCATCTTGTTAGTTGCATTTTCTTGTATTTATGACATCTGTTGTAACATTTTAATGCTTCAGTTAGATTTTTCTTCAGCAGTTCTTTTTATATAGAAAATGATTTTTGAGACAGAGATTAGAGTTTGCAGTATCAGAATGGTACCCTTAGTATGACCCTGACTCAAGGTTATCTGTATAACTGGCATGCCTCTACATGTACATAGATATAAAAACTGATTACATTTTTATAACTACAACTTATTTTGACAAAAGTAATGAAATGCAAAAATATTGTAATGTTTTTTTTTGTTTTTAGCTATAAAGGAAAGTTAGTCTATGACTCACTCATACACAGTATAATATAGATATTATAAAATTTCTGCAGTTTTATGGTAATGTTTTTGAGAAAAAAATCGTGATTTAAATGAAAATGAGATTAAATGATCAACATGTACTTATCTAGAAACCATCCTTATCCATGAAATTATCAATATCATATGAAATGATGTAATTTGAATTTTCATGTCAATATGATAATTTCCTTCATGATTTTCTCAGGGAAGATTTTATCTGTGGACTTATAAATGGAAATATGAATCTTCAAAATATACCTTTACCTCTGCTTGTGAAACTATGAAACACAAATTGATGGCGTATTTTGTAAAATTGAAGGAAATTTACATTATATTCACAGAAACTCCTGAAGATAAAATTATACAATGACATGTGGTCCTTGCATATAATATAGTGAAATTGTGACAAGTCACACATCAGATGAATTTGTTTGTTAAAAGTTCACATTTTCATTTCTGTAATAATATTGTTGAATATCTTAGCCACATTTCATTGGCTATTCTGGGCATCAATGACTGAGTGGTCTTAGTAGTTCAACTACTGTACCACCATCCTGTCAACACGGAGATTGTGAGTTCGAACCCTTCTCCTGGCAGATGTGCTCAAATCCAACTAGAATTGCCAGGTTTCCTGCTGAAGGTCATGGTTCTCTCCTCAGTCCTGGCATTCTGGCTTCCTCTACCAATAATAAATGGTTGCCATGAAATAGCCAATAGTTCTGAAAGTGGCTCTTAAATATAAAAAAAAAATCATTGGCTATTCATTCATTATTATAGATCTGACTTGAATGAGTGTAACTAATGTATGTTTGTATACCTAAATGAGCCATGAGTGGATGTGAATACCACCATATCCTATATTTTATTTTTGAACTACAATACACTTAAACTTGAAAAACAAAGTAGATAAAAGATAAAACTAAACCTACCAGAACTTAGAATACATAGCTAAAGCATGATTGCATTTAGAGAATATATGCATTTCCCTTTTAAACATAAGTGAAAATTGAATTTAGTTTTAATTTCATTGCATGAAATGAAAATCAGCGGGTATGTATCATGTATGCTTCCCCTTTGTATTGTTTCAAGTATTCTTCCAAGGATGAATTGTGTTGAATATGCACTTCAACAGTATACTTGTAATATTTTTGAATTAAAAGATATGTTGAAAAATGTTAATTTCAAAAGTTATAGGGTTTTAACCATGTTTTAACTGGAAAAGAAAAAAAAATAGCATTTTTTTTAAAGAGTGACAAAATGAAATGTTCACAAACAGTTTCCATATGCTTATTCAATCCTATTCTGAACAAATTTCATTAAAAAAAAAATTCCTTCATTTTAATTCAATTTAAGAATGAATAAGTGCACTTTCTTTTTCTCAAAGAAGTTTTGGAAGATATGGTAGAGTGATAAACCTTTATTCAAATTTGTCAAAGTTTGATTTAAACTAGAAAAAAATTGAAATACAAATGTAACAATATAAAGGAAATGAATTATATTTATATGTCTTTCCCCAGTAGATAACACCACATTAAATATAAAGTGTTATTCATATGATATGGAATCTATTAAACTGTAGGAAAATATGAAATTGAAAGTGCTATCTGGTGTCAAGTTTCAGCAAGATGTCCCAGATAAAGAACTTGAAGAGACTACATGAGAAAGTTGTTTTTATACCTCTTAAATAATTTTTAAAGGATTTCTCAATAAAAAAAAATATGTATGTAAGATCTGCCACAATTTAAAAGTCCTAGCGCTAAGAACAAATTATGTCAGAGTTATTGCACATTTTATGTAGTGAGTTGGGATTTAATCTTCACACTGAAAACTAAACAGAGATCATTGCTTACAATTACCATCTTGCTTAATGACATCTACCATATAATTTCTATGACCTTTGCAAAACCTTCTCATTAATGCATCATGCTATAATGCACATTTCTTCATGCCACATTATGTAAAGAAAATCTTGCTTCATGTTAACATCTTTTCAGTTAGTATTTATAATCAAGATCAAGCTGGTTTCAGTGTTCAGTGAATACATTGAAAGATTATTACATTGTCTTGGAAACCAATCATCTTACCTTAAATATGAAATAAGGAATCTAGTTAGCTCTGGTATACTACTTTTATAACAAATATGTTTCTATTGCTTCTTACGGAAAATAAGGGTATATGTTTTCAATGCTCATTACATTCTTATCTACAAACAAATTTATACATTCAATTAATGTTCATTGGTAATTTAATCAAAGAAAATATTTTGTTTGATTGATGACATTGACTAGTTGAAAATATTGTCATCCCAGTTACAACTATCATGTACTTTTGTAGTATTCCAAAATTATTGACCTTGGCTGATTCAATTGTGTGGTGTTTTTATGCCCCCACCATAGCAGAGAGGGCATTAAGTGTTACCCATGTCCATCTGTCCCGTCTGTCAGCCCGAACGTCCCCAAAATTGGTTTCTGTTCTCTAACTTAAGTTTGCCTCAACCAAATATTATTAAATTTATACACAATCCTTATAACAACAAAACACAGATCAAGTTGGAAATTGGGTGGCGTCACTTTTACCATTCATTAGTTCTGCCCTTTATAAATGGAAAAATTGCTAAATCTGTCGTTTCCGTTCTCTAACTTTAGTTTGCCTCAACCAAATGTTATGAAACTTATGCTTATAATCACAAAACAGTCTTAATTACGTGAATCCTGCATCTGTATGTGGAAGTTGACTCATGCATTTTTACAAGCGGGGGCATCTGTGGCCCATAGACACATTCTCCATTTATTTTTTACAATTTTGAGTGATTACTTTATGTATAAGTGTTATAACTGTTACACAATGGGTTGTATTTTTCTACATTTATATTGTGTTTTAAACTTCTGCATTTCATTGAAACAAAATTTACTTCTATAGAAACACATCTAGATACTTTGTTGTAACTATCAACAGACCCCTTCTTAAAAAGGAACATCTCAGTTATATCTTTAAGGAACAGTAAATTCAGAAATTATTGCGAATTGTTTAATAATGTGAAAAATACAAGAGTATCAGGTTCCCAATAATAAAAACTGACATTCATAATTTCTGTAGTGATCTTCCTTCATAAAATTTTTGTAATCACATTGATTAGATTTCACATTTTCCCCAGTGGTAAAGGATTTGCAATAATAAATGTAATTTCTTTATTTACATTCCATGTCTACAATCAGTCAAACCATAGCATTTATAAACCACAGTATGGTAAATTTTAAGTTGAATGGCTTTTACTTGTTTTTAAACGATCAAGAGTTTATGCAATTTTGCAAGAGTTTTGATAATATAATATGGTTTAAGAAAAAATTTGTACCTTTAACATTTATTTTGAAGGAAAAGGTAGCCAAAACTGCCTGTATGTCAGCTTGTAAACACATAGCTAACAGTCTTAAAGAATTCCTGTTGGACAACGAAATACGACAACTGACAATGGGATCACTTCAACAGTTCAACCTAGATCTTATACAGTGTGAACGTAAGTATAGTTATTAACAAGGGCATATCCAGGATTATTGAAAACGGGTAGAAGGGGGGGGGGGGGGGGCATAATTCCATAAATCTAGCGAGGGAGGCAAAATATTTTGGGATAATATATTATGGTACAAATTATATACTTTCTAATCAAATGGGGACGACGTACACCATCTACATTGATTTCATTGTTTTGCCACAGTCTGTATTCAAGCCTACAGAAAACTTGTACTTGGTTGCACATTTAAATTTGTGGTTTACCAATACCCACAAAATCCATTAATATTGGTATCATGTGAATAAAAATAAATCCTTAGTAGATAGAAATTCATGTTATCTTAATTCATAAAGATTTATTGTTAAAACATGTAATTGAATGTCATTATGGTTTGATGTTTTTGTAGAGTTTGCAGCATCAGAACCTATTCCTGGGGCAAATGATGGGAATCTGCTGCTTGCCTTTGCTGGCATTAGACAGGTAAAATGGATTCTTATAATGTAAAACTTCTACATAGCACTTTTTAATGACATTCAGAAAATGCAATTTTTTAAATAACTTGCATGAATAACATGTGTAAGTAAGAATTGTCATATTGTGTTGACCACATTACATTAAGTATTTAAATTAAAATTTTATTCTATAAATTCCCCCCCTCCCCTAATCAACTATTATAACATCATTTGTAACAGGATTTTTTCCTTATCAGCTTAGCAGAATGCTAGATTTAGAAAATATAAAATAAGGAGATGTGGTATGATTGCCAATGTGACACCATCCACCAGAGACCAAATGATGTAGATTTTAGCAATCTTTTACATGAATGAAAGTTTTCAGGAATTTGGCTGATTTGTTGATTTTGACATTTTTGGCACCTTCTGTACTTTCACTGATGCTTTTTATAAAGTCAAATGTTAGAATTGTGAAAAATGACTTTGTGTATATATTTTCTTACATGTAAAACTTCATGTTTGTTGACTTTTATACTTACAGTTACTTGATTTGTTCCTGAATTGGGATTGGTCTTTGTATTTAGCAGATTATGGACAAACAAATTCTAAATATGTTAGAGTACAACCACAAGTGGCATTAAGTTTATTAGAAAAGTAAGTTTAGATTATTGATAATGTAACTATAAGTATGGATTGTTAAAGTACTTTATTTTTATATACATTGAAATGCATGGAGTCCATCCATCAGTTTGTCTTATCTTGTAAGTGTTCTCAGATGTACATTTCTTGTTAGATATTTATAAAATTTATATCAATTGTTAATATCAGCAGTGTCTTGGACATGTTTGAAAATCAGTGCGCATCAACTATTTTTAATGGAGTTATGTCCCTTGGAAATATTGGAAAGGTGCATTGCATTAGCTCTAAAGCCTGCATTTCTTTTAGGATTGGTATGAAATTTATATCAGGTTTATATCAGCATTGTCTGATAAGAGATCAAAAATCGGTGCTTATCAATTATTTTTACAGTTCTGTCCTTTGGAAATGTGAATTGTATAGGAAATTGCACCAAAACAGTCCCAAGCTTGCATTCCTATGCAGATTTTCATGAATTTTATATCAAAGGTTTATATCTGTAATGTAGACTATTTTTACAGGATTTATGTCCCTTTGTAATTTATATTGAACATTGCATTGTAAGCACTCTCATACCTACATTTCTTAACGGATTTTTATGAAATTTATATCAATGGTTTATATCAGCAGGGTTTATGCCCCTTGGAAATAGATTTTTTATGAAAAAAATAAGATTGTTAGCCACCTCAAGTCTACATTTCTTGTAGGATATTTATGAAAAAGTTTCAAAGAACAAAAAGAAATTTTGTTTTGGAGATGTGTCCTTTTCCAGATTGAATATGTGCATTGGCAGCAAACATTAGAACATTTTATATATATATATATATATATATATATATATATATATATATATGTCACTACAATTAAAAAAAATTGTTTAATTTTGGATTCAAGTTTCTCCAAAAATGTGGTAAAATTTTGTAAATGAAGTTGTACAAGAAATAATAACCTATTTCATTATTCTTGGGAAATAATGTATTACATCTTCACTGTTCCTTTTTAGATTACATAATGCTGATAAAAAGAAAAACACCATTTTTGGGTCCCTGAATAAAAAAGAAAGAGACAAGAAGAAATTATTGGACACTGTATTGAAACAGTTAAGAGGTTTAGTGAATGGCTCAACTCAGCAAATACAAGGGTGACATTTCCTTGCAGAGTAGACAAGTTAACAAAATATTTAAAGATGTGCCATGTATAAAACCAGTGGATGGCAGAATTGAGTTAGCCAAATGTCTTTCAGAGAGGAGGATAGAGAGAAATAAGATTTAATCTCGTCAGATTATTTATTACATGGGAGATAATTTGAAGGCTAGAGTTTCAGTGGAATATCACTGCCTCTTATGCCATTTTGCTGACCTGTGATCAGATTTCATGATAACCTTGTATTTAGATGATCCCACAATTTCCTATGCTATCTGTGATCATTTCCATGGTATTTTATTATAGTATTTGTTAAGTTTGACTTTAATTTACCTTGTTGACCATTTTACTATTGACCAGTATGTTATTGCTTAGCAACTGAAGTGGTCTTTTTCAATCTTCAAATTCCATCTTTTTACATGTATATTTCAAGTTGTCTGTTATCAGTTGGAATTTCTGGTTCAAGATTGTTCTGTACGTTTTCCTGGACCTGCATTGCTATCATTTGCTCCAACAACATTAGATGGTCTTAAGCTTGGAATAGGGGCATGTTTCATTTATGATTGTGATCAGAAATCTACCTTATTCCTCTACAGTTACAATCAGATGATATAATGCTTCAAAAAACTGAATGTGTCAAGTCATAAAAAAAATATCAATTTATTTCTGTTGAATTTGATGCTTTATAATGATACAGTACCATGCAAGTATCGTGTTTACTGTTGAAGAAGCGGCTTAATCTGAAACCATGAAAAATATTTCATTCACAAGTGGCATATTCTACTGCCATTTAAATTAAGTTGAGGGATAGTCGATCAGTATAAAAGTATATATATCCCCATAGCATATATTAAGCATCAAGAAAATAATGTTGTAAAGTGTATATCTGGTTTACAATGTCCAAGGCTTTTTGGCTATGAATACAAGTAAATTAAGATTTACATCAGATATTTTTAAAGCTACACAATGAGAGCATAGTTTAAGTATATGAATTTCAATTATTATCTTTAATGCATTTTGTAGCGCTATTAAAAAGAAGTTTTAAAGATAAGTTTTGTGTTCGATTGGTATTTTAATCAGCTTGTTTCATTTATATCTAGATCTGTAAAAGTCATATCATTATATATGTTTGAATAGTTTCTGATCATATCAATAAATCATTTGTTAAAAATATAATTAGTATTTCAAAATGGCCATATATGTTTCATTTACTTGTATTTATCTGTCAGACTGTAATTAAAAGATACGCTGGAATGATTAAGATACGCTGGAATGATTTTTTTTAAATTATTTTGATTAAACTTCAAATTATCTTGCATATTTAAATGGATTTCACCAATTAGTAACTTCTTCAGTTATAGGAAATAAATAATTTGTTTATGTCATGGTGAGAATTATTTTCAGCATAGACGGTTTCAGCATTTATGTGCAGTTTGGACCAAATAAAATTTTGATAATGTCATAATTTCCTTATAATACTTTGATAACAGAATTTTCCTTAGTAAATGAAAAACTGTGCTGAGGAGTAAAAAAAGAACTTTTCACATTCATTGCTTGTTCTTATTTAAATTCATATAAAGCAAATGAATGAATATAGTCGTTTAGTGTTAATGTAGCAACTAAGCCATATTTTTTTGTCCGCATGTTCTAGTATATACAAAAGCAAATGCTGATTTTCAAGTTATGCTAATTTTTGCTGTTTTTCAGTTGTCCTACAAAAGTGAGATAAAAAGTATCTTGAAAAAACTACATTTCAAGTTAAATACATATCATGATTATTGTCAAAACCTGTTAGCAAATATACTCACGAGTATACTGTTACTTTGAAAACCATGAAGATTTGATGTTGTGAAAAATTGATATGTCAAAGAAAACCAGATCATGTAGGAATACAAAATGTATTTACGGTAAATGGGTTAATTGTTATGGTCATGAAATCCCATGTTGGATGTTTAATTGAAAACTATGATGAAGGATATAGTTGTTGAGTTTTTATTATTATTTATGAAGTACTAATCTTTCATGGGTTTAGGTGAACCACAATTTCAGAGTTAACAAAATACAAGTTTGGTATAGACATGCTTGTATGCAGAATTCACATCAAAATCAAGTTTCTATAAAAATAGAATTTTTCCCCAATCCAAGAATATTGGTACATGTACCAACAAAAATAAATGAATCTAAAGTATGTATACCTAGTGGCTGTCTGTAAAATTCACTCCAGAAAAATCAATGAAGGACTGTCTTCTTATTTTGTAGTCAGAAAACTTTATAATTTAACTTAAACTTTGGTAAAAATAACCTTGACAGCAAAAGTCAATGTTAATCATTGTATCCATCTAAATATTATGCAATACTTTCATAAATTTAGTATGTAAAAAGTGTAAAAAAAATAATCCCACTTTTTAAATATGACTTTGTGGTAAGATTAAATACAATGACATATTTTGGGGTCATTCCTTATACATGGCCCTGCGACATCCATCATTTTAGCACTGATTCCTTAATCGTTTGATGATTTATGAAGAGGTTTGAAACACGCATCACAGCTAGGGTAGGGATTCATTTTGACAGATTTGAATTTACTTACAATGTAGATAACTTTCAAAACTACTGGGTTTTTGATTGGTCACCTCAACCATGAAATTAAAATGTATGTGGAATCCACAGGTACAATAGACTGTCAATTAAATTCATATTAGTCACAAATTAAAGCACCATTGACCCTCAGATATGAAAATCGGTATCAATAAAAGCTAGACAAATTATTAAAAATACCTCCCAGCTTTTCGTGTTTTATGTTAAAATTATTAATTTCTGTTTAAAGAACATGCTTCTAATGAATTTTTTTGTTAAATGCCTTATTGAAGAGACATAGGTAATTTTAAAATTCTACAATTATGTAGGAATGATTAAGAGTTTGCTTAATTGAATATGAAGAATTTTAAAATGAAATTATAAAAGTAAACTAAAAGGATCTTTTATCAAAGAATGGAAAAGTTGCCAAGTTTTGTTACATAAAAAGTGCATTTGTAGATGAAATAAAATAGAATAATTAATTTTAGATTGACGAATTAAAGTTAGGTTTTATGTATTGCTTTTTTATAAAATTTTTTTTACAATTGATAGTCTAATGATAAGCTGTCGCAGATAATGACCAATAATATTGAACCTGTATGACCTTTGTTGAAAGGTTTCAAAGTACTTAAGGATTATTGGATGCAATGGATTTTTATTGTGGTTTAAATGTCAATTTAGGTGCCACATCGATTCCTAACAATAAATAAATATTGGACATCATGCTTTGCAACTATTTATATATTAAACTCACACCTTATGAATATTAATGTGGATTATGTTGACACTTTGAGGAATGCAAAATTCTTTTTTATTGAAAAAGATAAATTTTGGACAATGAAGAAAAATAAGACATGCAAGTCAAAATGGCCTGAAGTACACTGACCTTGCATAAACATTGTAAATTGCACTTGTAATGTGAGGGATTTTGCATTTGCAAATATAGGTGTCCTGTTTTCGAACCTTTAAATGAGGATCCTCCCTTTGTATTGGAATATTGGAATAAGAGAGTTGTTGCACCTATTTCCCCTCAATATCTGGGATATTTCATTAGAATTTTTGAAGTTACATTAGACCTGTTTGAAATATGTCTGTCATCATGAATGAATTAAGTTATAAGTTGACATGAGCACTATGTACAGTAGAAACAATAGGTCTACAGGTTAATTAGAGTAACAACTGACTGAAGCTGTTCAAAAGATAGGAATATGAAGACCATTTCCAAGATAGACCACATTCCCCCTGAAAGTGATAAGACATTTTGATAATAGGACACACACTTGATCACAATGGCATTAGGTCTTAGTTTTTAAAATACATCATAATTAACATATATAGGACCACGTCTGCTAGAAATTGACTGATATAACCTAAAAAATTACAGCGATATTAAGTTTTTTTTAAGGATAAGTCTGATATAACCTAAAAAATTACAGTGATATGAAGTTTTTTCCAAGTAGTTGTAAGTACTGATAATTGAACTGAAAATATTATAGTTTTTGGTTTTTCAAGTTACTATAACAACACATTATTGACCTTCAAGATAGTTTAAGTACCATGATGCTTTAGCTATCTATTTTGGGCATTTTAGTATTATGTTAGTATAGTATTATTTCAGTTAGTATTTGCATTAAAAATATATCTCATATTTTTCATATGTCAGTAAATATGTGCTCTATAGTATTGCTATGCAATTATATGTTTTCTTTATTGTTATTGCATACAGATAAGTGCTTTAGATTGTAATAAGAAAGAATTGTAATTTTTGTCACAAATAGATATGCTTTTTGTTTATAAAAAAAAATTTAAGATGATAGTGCTATTGATGTCAGATCTTAATGTCTTTACGATACCTCTGCTGGTGGACTTTCAGTCCCTGAGGGTATCACCAGCTCAGAAGTCAGTACTTCGGTACTGACATGATTTATAACAAACTTTCTAAAATTGTCCATTTATAAATTTTGAAATTATAAAAAAACTAAGGTTTCAACTCCCTCAAGCTCAGGCAAAGTTGACCTAAGATGGATTTTTTAGGTCCTTATTGATCATATAGCTCTTCAACTGTTTTGGTTCATATACATCCTTGGCTTCAAATATTCGGCTTTGTGCGTTCCTGATGAAGGTAAATCCAGAAAAGCGCTTCGGACGCATGAAATTTATAACATGTTATTTTTATTTTTACTGTATTATAAACTTATGTTATGAACAAATATTTCTGTGATATTTAGGCCCACCTTTTTTAAATTCCAAGAATCGACCCTGAAAAGAACAATCTACTAAGATTCAAAAATAAAATTTGTTTGATGATAACAGAAAAAGATATAGATTTAAAACATTCTGGTATTCATCATTCTAGACGGAAGTTGGCTTCAAAGAGATATTTGAGGCATCATAAATGAAATATCTTCCTTTATGTAGGTACTTTTTCATAAGGGGACACCTGTAGATATTTTGAAGAAATTTAAGTTGTTTTCCTCTCTTTTCAGGTTTGTAAACAATATTCAGGTGGTCTTCAACTTAGCTATAATATGATCATTGTACTACACTTTGTGTATATGTATGTTGAAGGTTTTTATTCCCTCTTCTGTTAATCAAACAATTTATTTACTTGATATTGTTTAGTTAATACATTTACATTCAGAAACAAATAGAATTTTAACCTAATTTTGAGATATCTTTTGCTTCTGCTATGTCTATCTTATTAGAATGATTCATACTTTAATTACTTGCAACATTTTTTTTTCAATCTATGTTTCCAAATTGATTTGCATTAAGTACATGTGCTTATAATTTGATTGTCTTGTTGCGATTTGATTTTTTTTTTCCATTTTTGTATTTATAGCCTCCTACTCATTATTATTCATTTTAATCACAGTTTATTTTTGCTAAGAAAAAAGAATGAAGTAGATTTAAAAGACAACAAAGATTGAAACTGTTTGCATTGTGCTGATAATTGTTGCTATATGATTTTGTTTTTTGTATGTATAGCCTCCCACACACCAGTGTTCATTTTAATCATAGTTTTGATTCTGTAAGAAAGAAAAAAACGAAACAAAATTTAAAAGACAACAAAGATTGATAAAAGAAGTAAGAAACAGTCAAACTGAAAGCATGTATTCAATTAAAGTTCCCTAATGTCAATAGATGCTTCCTGGGAAAAGTAAATTCTCATCTGTCAAGATGTTGACACAACCTTTTCTTTGTATGTTTATCTAACATTATTTATTGGTGCACTACTGTTTGTGTTAACTGTGTAAATTGTATAACTTGTTCATAATTGTAACATATTGTTGATTGCTTTTAATTTGTGTAAGCTTTCATTATGAAAGCTGTTTTTGAAAGTGCAATATCAAATAAAGACCCAATAAAAATACATAAAGACACTTTGTATCTTTGTTCATGTTTTTCCTTGTTAGTATAGTCTTTAGGGTTTTGTATGAATATGATACTTGGAATGTTTGTATCCCACCTCAATGGCAGGTGGTGTAAAAAAAACAGAGAATATGACTAAGTGACATAAATGATAGTTATGTTGACATCAGTTTTTAAGTAATTAACCTCTGCAGTTGTCATCATTGACACATTTTTTTTCAAGTATCAGTTTGTTAAGAAGTGGGCTCATAAGTTATTTCAACTAGTAAGATGATTTCTGTCCACCATTGCGCTGCATGAATTCAAAAGCATGGTTGAATCAAAGGAAAGTTCATAGATGTGGAATTATATTCTGATTAAAGTAGCGGAAGCATGAATTAACTTTAAAATTGAAAGTAAGTATAGAAAAAAAAAGGTTATCTCAGGTGAGTATTGTTCTTGTATATATTCTAGATAGCTCTGTATGTTACTGAAAGTAAACCAGAGTTGAGTGGTATATACATATATGATTACTTAGACCTCTTCTTCAGTAAGTCCTGATCTGAGATGGGTCTGTGTGATGGGGATGTGTAAATAAGGAAAACCACACCCATGTGAAGGACAATAGGATTAAAATCAGATCTTTTATTTAAGAGAGCTTGTTTCTGAAATACAAGTACTTGAAAAAAAATTTGGCAGAAAAAGATCTTGATTTTATTATCAAAAATCTTACCTTGACAAGATCAGAAATCAGTTACATTAAATACACAACAGGTTCTTCTCATTCATCATAGATTTTTGATTCAAGGTAAAATGGATTGGAGACATAATGCTTGCAATCTGTTCAGTAAAATCAGACTGGCATTTTTAATAGTGGTATTATGTAAGTTATGTAATAGGTGTCTAGTCGACCATTTTATTAAAGTGTATTCTGTTGCAAATCTTAATGTACTTCTGTATTGTTTTTCTCTGCCAAAGGTCAGTGGCTCTCTGGGTGTTCCGGCTTCCTCCACCAATAAAAACTGACCGACAAGATATAGCCAATAGTACTGAAAGTGGCATTAAACACCAACCATCAATCAACAAAATTTTGTTTTTTAATGTACGATGAGTAAAGTAGGAGATGAAACACTGATATCATGACACTTAATTATTACCCCTCCTATTTCCTAGCAATTTTCAAAACTACACATTGGATTTCATCCCACCTTTTCTCAATATAGTGTACTTGTGCATCCCTTATTTGATGTGTGCATTTATTGCTGTTTTTTGAAAACCATTGGGGAATTCCCCTGTAAATTGAATACCTGCACTGCTTATTTACTCTCAAACTACTGAATGGATACCATCTATAAACATTATTTCTCTATGTTGTGAATATGTGCATCCTGTTTTTTGTTGTATTTATTGAGAGTTTACAATACAGAAACTTCTCTAATTTTAACATTCTTTTGCTTTCAAACCACTGAATTGAATGGAGCAAAACTTTATATCTCTTCTTTACCATGCTAACTATGCAGTACAGTTATGTAGCCTGTGTTGTGAAATTAGATTGGAGTCAAAATAAGGTAAAGTGACATTCTATATACCTGGTGTAGATAGTTATATATATAATCAGTCCTATCCCTGAAATTCACTGAATGAACTGCATAAAAACATTGTTGAAAACAAAAATGATTTAAAGTAAATAACATTACCTGAAGCAGCTGGACTCAATATCAAAAGTGTCAAATATGTCATGCATATTCATGAACAAATGGATTGAATAATGTTAAAAGTTTCATTGTTGAATATCTTCATAACTTATAGGTTCTAACTCTTACATGTAAACAAATTGTTATTGGTTTAGAATTTTATTAAAAAATATTTGATATCTAAGATTAAGACTAGGACATTGGAAAATCAATAAAAGAAACATTGATGTCTTCCACATAATAGAAAGATACCAAATCCACAAAGAAATTATCACATGTATTTTGAATATGGTGGAAATATCTGAACATGGCTATCCCATATACAGTAACATCCATTATAGCATTTCGATGAATTTGTAAATGTAAATAGAAAATAAATAATGTGTCAATTTTTCGTTAAATGATGTCGGTTTTGACCATTACTGTAGAATGGAGAATGGAAACGGGGAATGTGGAAGAGAGACAAAAACCCGACCAAAGAGCAGAAAACACATCGAGACCACCAATGGGTCTTCAACGCAGCGAGAAAATCCTGCACCAGAATGCGGGCTTCAGCTGGCCCCTAAACAATAATGTATACTAGTTCAACAAAAAAGACGTCTCACCAAACTCCGGAACATGCAAATGAACAAAAATGATAACACACAAGACTAATAAAGGCTAGAGGTTTCTGACTTGGGACAGGCGCAAAAATTTGTGAGATTTCAACCCTCCCACTGGCTATTAGACTTGGCAATAAAGTTTGAATTAATGTGAGAGTTGTACTTAAGTGTATCTCTTGGGAAAATACCGCTAAAAGATAAATGGTTATGAATTCCAAAATAAAGTCTGATGAAGTTGGACGTCAACAACAGTTATACTGAACAATGACAGCATTGATTCTAATCTATATATATGAAAGCTGCTTTAAAGCAGTTTGCTGCATATTCTTTTATATTCGGCAGTATGGCCCTTGTTTTTTCTTCTAGTCCATTTGCCAGCGCGGTATTTAAAAAAAAACACGGAAATTTTTGGAAGTTGAGAAGTTAAATCTGATGCGACGTGTTTGGAGAAGTGCCTGACATGCTCTATAAAGACAACTATATTGACAACAATATACAGTTTTATTGGGAGCATGTATACTCCCAGATCCGAACACCTTTCTAATTGAAACATTAAGTTGCTGTGTAGGACGTTAAAGACTCCCAACGGTCCTTCCAAGATCAGTTGTGTATTTAAACCCCCTGAACAGTCTAAAAATATGTAATAACAACCACAAACACAAGCTACAAATAGATAAACCGTAACGTGATTTGAAATAACTAACTGATTTTTTCATTAAATTATATTCCTATTGTAAAAACAAAATTGGTTTTATGTACTGGTTATCTTAACACAAGATATTTTGGCTTAAACAGAGCAAATATGATCTGTATACCAACGTTAACATCTACGATTTAGTCCGCCACCTGACCACCGTCCGGCCAGTCATAGCATATGAGCCTGATGGACAGTGCACTAAAAAGTCAGAATGTCTATAAGGAAGCAACTAGACCGATTTAAATCAAAATGGGTCTCGCTTCATTATTATATTAAGCTATGCCGCATGCCTTCCGAGGGCAAACTTTTACCTACGGTATCCAACCTTGGAATGGATACTATAGCTGTAGTTTGAAATCCCAAGAAGCGATCATATAGCAAGTGGAATATAACAATAAATAAGAATATGTGGTATGAGTGCCAATGAGACAACTATCCATCCAAGTCACAATGTGTAAAAAGTAAACAATTATAGGTCAAAGTACGGCCTTCAACACTGAGCCTTGGCTCACACCGAACAGCAAGCTATAAAGGGCACCACAAAGACTAGTGTAAAACAATTCAAACAGGAAAACCAACGGTCTAATCTATATAAAAAACGAGAAACACTTTATGAACCACACCAACAAACGACAACCACTGAACAACAGGCTCCTGACTGTCATTATTGAATTATTAAAGATAAGCAAAATATGATAAAAAAAAATCAGCGAAATAGTTGGCTTTGTTGCGTGTTGGTGCGTTCCGCTTGATTTCCAGTAACTGACTAATTGGGATACGGCAAACGGTAAAACACGATTAAATGGGATTGTAAACAAATGAATGAATATATTAGAGATGTAAGATTCTATCTAAAACACTATAATTCTGGAAATGTTAATTCATTTTCAATCTTTTATTACCGACGCGTGGATTATCCATGACATTGCAAGTTCGAACACTGCATCTTCACTGAACCACGACCACATCTAACGCTACTGTAAACTGAAGTAAATCTGACACGCGTCATAAATATTTTAAATCAAATTTTTCTATAATATTTATCGACCTTTTACAACTGGCTGTTTTTATGACATTAATGTATTTCCCCAGTGAAGCAAAACATCAGTGATTTTCTTTGTATCAAAAGTAAAAATGTATTTAATTGATAAATTTTATTTCAAATTGTATGAGAACAAAGACTATTATACTTTGACGATGTGGAATAAATGCCAAATGTATTCGGATACATTTCTATTGAGGATGGTAATCTAAAACCTTTGAATAGCGTATATGCTTATTTGTTCAAGCAGTATAAACGCCCTTTAAGTCTTTGAATTGTGTATAATCAGTAGAAATTGGAATTTAAAGAGAATTTATCATATGTTACAAGACACAATATTGGCGACCAGAAACATTACGCCTTTATGTGACACTGTTGATATCTTATTTTTTTTCAGTAAAAAAATGTCTATTATAGTCACTTTGAACATGCTAATATTTGCTCGTCTGTGATAATTACGCCGATTGTAAGATTTTCGAGTTTTGCTCGTCCATAGAAATTACCCTGAGTGCAATAAAGGCCATAAAAAATCATATTCTGGTGAGCATGGTTCTATTTGGTTCTGCAATATATGTTCAAAACTTGTGCTCCATATCTATTTGCAAAATGTGTTTATTGATTTGTATTGAAAATGATCATAGCTTACTTTTAGGCCAGATATGTAATAAGGATCGAAAACTTGCTATGCCATCATGCGGATTTGTCTACGAACATTTCCTATTCCAAGACGGAGTCTCAATAAACTTTAATTGCTACAATGAACATGTCTCTTTCTGAACTATTATTAGTAATATTCCAACAGTCGCGATAGACTTGCTACAATGATCTCTCGCGAGCGAGCGCTCTCTATCTCTTTAAACATATCCTTTTCTAAGAGTCTCGATATACTTGCTACAATGATCTCTCTCGGTCTCTTTCTATAAACATTTCTTATTCCAAGAGTCTCGATGAACTTGCAACTATGATCTCTCTCTCAACATTTCCTATTCCAAGACTCTCTCTCTCTCTCTCTCTCTCTCTCTCTCTCTCTCTCTCTCTCGCTAGAGTCTAGGTAGACTTGCTACAGTTACTGCATGCTTAGCAGGAAACAGATTTGAAGAAAACAATTAATCTGCAAAGTATTTTATTCAGTACATGCCACAATCCATCATATTCTGTGATACAACGATAGATGAAGCCAACAAGAGGAAAGGCATTACTCGAGTAACAAAAGCTATATTTTTATTTTTTGCTAGTTGGCTGAGTTTACGGCGCTGGACACAGAAGCAGGGGTTCAAATCCCTCTTAGGGAATAACAATGCTGGGTTTAATCTAAAACAATATATATACAAGTAGTATACGATATTAATATTCATATAATATTTTATATGTTTAAGCTGGGTATAACTTCATTGGGAAGCTGCGTGTTACTGGAGAACCATAACACATGATGATCTGTCTATTTCATAGAATGCAAATGTAGTTATTTTCGCTTTCTAATTACACGTGCATTTCCCATCTAATTGCACTTGATTTTCGCGGATCATTAAATAATCACGAGCGTATGCAAAATCCAGTTCCCGACTGTTTGATGAGTTTCCCTTCAAGCACTTTAATCACGACAAAATTCCAATATGTCAATGAAATAAATATAATAACACTTTTTGTTTGCTGTAAATTGTCATTTTAGTTTTTGTGATGAAGCTATCTGAACCTCGTTTACAAAGTAATGGAAAACATATAACTGTACTGATTGAAGCGGGGTAATCAACCATCACATTTAAAACCGTCCTCCAATAAATATGAATAATAAATGCAACGCTATAGAAATTGGCTTTGGGATTCTACATTCAGGTAATTCTTTAGATAACTGATATTTCGGAAATACAAACTCTCGGATAAAGGTGGCTAGATGTAAATATCAGAAAGGTAGAAGTTATTAAAATATTTCTTCAATAACTTCAAGGCTCTGTGAACACGATTACAACTGTATTTAAACCACATGGCTTTCGTCTATTTACACGTTACATCATGAGAGGAGAGATGCCAAGATTTCAGGTAAGTTATTTGTTAGTTTTGGACACCTTTTGTCTTTTTAGAGTTAGCAATGTATACCAATGTCACTTAAATTATTTGTTTTATGTAAAACTATTCTTTACGAGATATTGACACTATTTTTCGAAGTGTACTTTATCTTTTTACTGATCCTATATACTTGTGTATTGATTTTTCTGCAGCATTTTTTCTGTGTCCTGCTATAAACATTACCTAAATCTGAAATCAGCCATTCCATCAAATCAGAAATCGTCGTCGAAAATATTTGTGTATGTGCATATTACCAAGGTCATAGCAACCTCTCTGCGTGCAAATGGGTTTTAAATGCAATTGTAAATAACAATCTAAAGTTAAACATTACACATGGTGTCGATTTTCGTCCATATATCATAATATTCACTATTTGATTGAAAGTTTTATAAGTAGGCAAACATTTCAAATGTTGAAAATATATGTTATTCTCACGTACGACCTTACTGTGTATTTAAAGTTCAGCTGATTAATATCAGCATCATTATTTGATATTTCAATGTAAACATGTTTTATTTGTTAGAACCACTTCAAATATATCGTTACTTAAATACACAACTGATTCAGTTCATCCAGTTTTAAATTTGAATTAAATCTTTCAGGTTTAAAGTTAAACTTCCGGCGATCTTACATCCTTTTATAATCTATTTTAGAATCCCATCAGAGATAACATTCTTGTTTTGGGGTAGATCATTGATAAGATTTGGCTAGAGATCTCAACAGGTTTTATTACTTCATTGATTATATAGCATACTTTATAAACAGTGCAACATATTAGAATTGTACAGAGTAGAAAATAATACGCTGATTAAGATAAAGACGGCATATTTTCGAACTTTATCTCTTTTTCGATTGAGTGGTTCAAATTGTTACTATTGAAGTTTTTTTCCGAAATTATTCTTCATCACTATATGTCACTCAGACACTAATGGTTTCGAAGCTACCTCGTGGGTAATGATGCACAAACATATCATTTCTCCTGTTTATCATATACTCTTTCAGTCACAAGTTGACTTGTTTGTATAACAGTGTAATCCATTTCGCAGTGTCAATTTTTTTCTCTCATTTCAGTGAAAACTGTTATTCATTCATACCAGTTGTGCTTTGATTTGAAAGTAAACTAATTAAATTACTCAAGCAATTACTAGATCACTTAAAATAATTGTTTTTACTTGTTTTTAAATAATTTTCACATAACAGACAATTTTAATAAAAATCTTCATCTCTTTAAAACATCAACGAGAGTAAAGTTCAAACAATCGGAGCTGAAGTGGATTACATATACATGTCTGAATATTGAATTAGTGTTTCTATGCTACCTATATTCGTATAGTCATTTGTTAAGTTAGTATTACTTGGAAGAAATATAAAGTTAAATGTTTTCGTCGGGTGTAACAGCTTCCTACTCTTCGAAGGATAAAGTTTTCTTCCGATTTACATGCAGTCTTATTCCATGAAGGTATGTTGTGAATCAGTTTTGAATGGTTTACTTGTATGTTTGTCCATCGTGGTGGATAGCTTCTAATTTTTCTACCTCGGTTCTGTAATTTAAATTATAGCAGTGGAATTATATTAACTTATACTCGGTGTAAGACAAAAAAAAAAGATTTATCATTTTTTATTAACGCCCAGCTACAAATAATCCATGTAAGTTTAGGACCAGAAAAAATATCTAAACATTTTTTTTTGAAACCCAAAATAAATAATCACAACATAGGATAACAGTAACTGCACAAGTATATATAGAAGAGGGGCTGGATGTGGTTTACAGAATATAGAATAATGGCAAAAATGTGCCGATCAAAGGACATAAATATAAAGAATAGAGAAAAATTGGCCCAAAAATAAAGAAATATGAGACAAAACTTAAAAAGAATAGAGAAAAATGGCATAAAAAGATTAAATGTACAGAAGCAGTGAGGTAACTCCCATCCTGGCTCTCATAGAACAAAGAGTACACTTAATAAATCAGGAACTCCACGAAAAAACGAATTAAATCAAGTCTGTCCATTCAATATAATAGATTCTATATTGAATATATACTGTATAAATGTTGTTCGCCTTCAAAAACACCTTTTACAATAGATATAAGAAGATGTGGTATGAGTGCCAATGAGACAACTCTCCATCCAAGTCACAATTTGTAAAAGTAAACAAGACAAAAAAGATCTATCTATAGATTTTCTACATATGTTTAAAAAATATAGTAATAATTGGGCTATTGATTTTGACGAGGTTTACAATTGGCAAGTTGGCACACTTATAAAGTCTGTCGGTGTTAAAAGTGTGTAAATGAAATATGCCAGTAACCTGACTTACAAAACTGGGCCGTATACATGAGTTTAGAAACTATTCTCATGACAATACCAGATACAAGCAATACGTATTGGTGACTGCAATATCATATTCGTGTCTCTATAGGTGTCCCTAGGTTCAGAGCACTTTAACCAACATATTAATATTGTATTTACGTAACGACAACACACTTAATTTGTTGCATGTACAATAGTTAAACAATGTTCATTGATGCACCGTAAAGATGCTCGAAGTTGTCATGTTGCCAGTTATATGCATTAATGAAATCTAAATAAATGTTTTTTGCAATCTCAATAAATAAAGATTATTCCATTTTAAACACTGAAAGTATAATTGAATCGATGTAATCTTAAAAAAATGAAGGTGTTCCTTTTGTTGGTACAAGAACCCGCCTTGATTTAATGGAACAAAACTTAATCTTCCAGATAATGTTAACCTGCCAATCTTGCTTATGTTTATCAAATTAGACAGGTATATATGTTGGTGATGAAAATATTACGATTTTACATTTCAGTAGCTCGATTCGTCTGATTTTATGATAACCATTGCGCAACCTTTTTTTGGTATGCCTTTTATGTTAGGCATTTTGTTATGTACTCTGCATACCAACACAAGGAGAGAAAAAGTTTTCAGTTTCAGTTGACATTTTCTTTAAGATATGCCTTTAATACGTATAACAAAGAGCACTTGTGATCGAGTTTCATACTTAGTTGTCATATTTATATGATTGAACGGTAGAACCTATCATTTTGTATTTACTTCAGTCTAAGATCAGAAAACATACTTGACAACTGAACATTGTTGCCAGTGCAGAAGAGTTCACAATTTGTTCTAAGAGGATGCACCGAAAACAAACAAATCTTCATGTGAAACGTTAAGCTCAGTTTGTACATATTGTCATCGATATTTTATCACCCAAAATATCCCAGTATATACGAGAAAGGAATAAACGGTTTCTATGGTAATATAGAACCAATATTAATATGGCTTTACCTTAAACTAAATGTTAACTTATATACATTGAGGCCATGATCTGTTGCCAAAAAAATAGTTTCATTTAACAATAAGTTCTGATATTTACATTTGTTTTTACAAAACCATGCTTAACAAAACAGCAAACGAAAATAAATATGACCGACATGCAGAAACAAACGACGACCATTGAGTTAAGTCTCCTGACTTGGGACAGGACGACCATTGAGTTAAGGCTCCTGACTTGGGACAGGCACATACAGAATGTGTTTAACATATTTGTTAGCGCTCAACCCTCCCCTAATCTAGGATAGGGATGTACCAACACAACATAAGAACACACAAACTGTAAAATCAGTCGGAAAGGCTCACCAGATCGGCACGAAGCGCAAAAGTAACTTGAAAAAAGTACCGGTCAAATAGTACTCTTAAAAACTGTTTCCAAGTTATGATGAAAAATACCAGTTATTCTACAGTAAATAAATATATTCACCAAATTATTTGTAAACCAAACTATATACCAAAAATACGAAAATAAATTGATTGATTGCTGATTACTAAAACGTCAATTGGCAAGTATGTCATGCATATCAAGGACGAGAATAAAATAGCAATTGATAGGGTTGACTGGGATGGGAGACGGGAAATTTAGACAGCCACTGGAAAATAAGGGTATGTTGGATATATAGTAGAATAAATTTTTACTTTGCAACAGGTCACTATCGAGACCCTCAGGGAGTTGTTGCAATGATTTTTTAACGCACAGAGTGCGTGACACTTTCCCTACACGAGGCATCGGATCTAATGTCCACATGACGACCGAACGGGGTATCGTATTTAATTTAACTTATCATAGATACCACTTCAGAATAAACATTTGTACGCCAGACGCGCGTTTCGTCTACAAAAGACTCATCAGTGACGCTCGAATCAAAGAAAGTCAAATAATGAACGAAGTTGAAGAGTATTGAGGACCCAAAATTCCAAAAAGTTAAGGTAATGTAATCCCGCACAGTCAAACAAACATCCCACATTAGCAAGGGTTTTACTGCCGGCAGGTAATCTAATCCCGCACAGCCAAAAAAAACATCCCACATTAGCAAGGGTTTTACTGCCGGGCGGCAAAAGTTCAGGGGTTAACGAAAATAAAAACCAATGAATATTTGTTAATCAAAATAAAATGTTCATTTCATGACTTTGCTCCAAAATATAAGAACCCTTAACGAAATATGTTTCTTGAACAAAATTGATGTCTGCGATTTCATAAACAGCAGAACCTGTTTAAAAAACAGTAAAGTTTGAACAGAGTGTCTTACAATATGCAGCATAGATAAAATAAACAAACATATGTTGAAAAAGAATTTTCAAGTAATTCAGTAAGAAATGAATATAAGCTGCTAGTTATTAAAGTGTAACGTTGTAAAGACTGATTATTGCTAAGAAAGAAACTTCCCTTCTGTTAGAAATATTTCGTTTCTCTGCTATAGGAATAAAAAGATGTTTCTGTCGCAAAAACTATCTAATTAGTTTGTTTGTTATTCCAATAAAAAGGAGTTATATGGTATTTGTATATGTCCAATCTGCCAATCGATTCCCCTAAGCTAATTTATCTTGATCACTTTTTACTAAGCTCATCATCTTAAACTAATGCTCCGTGGTTCACTGATCCTAGACCTAATTTCCTGTGTTTCAGAGAGACGAAGTTCCACTGGCTGGTTTAAATTGATAGGAACCAATCGCTTGCACAGATAGCGATGATTTACCACAGCTAAACATGTGAATATTTTCTCCTCGGAAAAAACAAACAACTGTCGCGGTTCATTACAAATTAGAGATGTGTAGACAATAGAAAGACACACATGATGTGATTTATGAAAAACTCTAATCAAACGACGCCTTGATTGCCATGGAAATCAATCTTGTACGAAAATAGTTTATTCTTGTGCATTTAGGAGCACCCTACGCCGTATTAATCGCATTGTGTAACAGATAAATTAAAGTAAAAAATTATCTACAGAATGAAGTCTCTTGTGTTGCAATTTTCTCGTTAGCGGGATAATGCATTGGAACTTATACGTTCACAGTGATTAGAACTTCGTCAATGAATACCAGATTCGTCTTATCATAACATTATTATCAAAAAAACAACATGGGAATACTAATGTTATATGTCTCTGTTTCAAATTGAAACTTTGAAGAAATATACAAATTGAACTTTTGAACTGTTGATAAATCAAGGGAAATAATCCAATAAAGTGGACTGAATTAATCACCATACCACAGAGACATTCATATTAAGAAATCTCGAAAAAGAGGAATTAATCTTCGGAGCGGAGAAAAGATCCACCAACATGTTATTAAAGCCTAGAGGGAGTTATGTTAACTCACTGTCATCCATCGTATACTGTGTTATTGCAACTCTTGCCCAGTGTTACATATGCTATTCATATCTCGGTCCATACGAGACAACATTGGACGAAAAATGGAGCGGTACATATCGGAGTGGATATGGTGTTAGACTAGGCCTTCCTATTATTGGATTGTTTGTTTTACCACTTTTTATACTCTTCAGTATTTTTCGAGTTGGAAACTATGCCAATGACGGTTTCAAGATAGGAAGAGATCATGCTTTAACTGCTCAAACGAACTTTTTTGGTGATAGATTTGAGAAAGAGCTGACTAGAAGGATCTGGCGGAATTTCTGCCCTTTTGCACCAACACTTCATCTTTTTATAGCCTTTTCTCTGATCCTGCCAGACACTATTTTAACCGGACTGGATGTCAAGTATGGCCATCAAAATTCTGGTAAGTATTTATTTTTATATTGCAACAACATTGTGTTTGTCATGTTTGTTATTGTTGGGTTTTTTTATGTATTTTTCAGTTGATAATTACTTATATTATATATTTTCAACTTGTCATATCCGGACGAAATAGAGTAGTAATATTGTTAGTTTACTCATCATATATCCTGAGCAAAATAGAACTGTAATATTGCTTTTCTACTCATCATATCCGGAGCATAATAGAACAGTAGTATCATTATCCAACTCATTATATCCGGAGCAAAATCGAACAGTATCTTAAAAAAAATAATGGGTGGTCAAAACACCCAGCGTGTGGTTCTACTTCCATTATTTTTTCCTCTTTTTGTTGTTGACACCTTGGCTTATACGATATTTTTTTATTTGCGCTATGGCGAAATGGGTTTTTAACGTAAAAAGCTGGCAAGAAAATCGTTACTGATGGCATGTGGTCATCACATTTGATACATCTGTTCGATTTTGTTCTAAATGATGAATCAACCTCTGGAAATATTGGACCTAAACATTAGATTTCCCGCTTTGCGTTTAGATAAATAATTCATTAATGTGAGATATACACTGAATTAATCAGTATTGAAATCATACCACATTAGCATGAAATGCCTCTCATTGAGGTTGATTCAGTTTATTGCATATTTTTTATTCAAAATTCAAATGATAAAATACATTAAACTTGTTAAAGTATCAAGCCACGGTTAGCTTACTTCATTACAGTTTAAATGAAATAAATCATGTAATCTCCTGAGGCGCATTTAGGACCCTGCCCCTGAATGGAGCTACATATATGGTACATGCATAGACTTTTCACATGTCCCACTCCATACGTTGCCTAGTTTGGGGGCCTGCCTCCCTCTTTTTCAAAATCCTAGATCCGCATCTGGACTCGAGGGTGTCGTGATCAGGCAGCAAGAGAAGACATGCAACTATAAAAGATATAGTGACTACAAAATGTTTGTTTGTATATATCTGGGTATATTTATTAATGGTGGTAAATGATTTAATTATTTCAAGCGAACAACAAAATAGCGTAGGCAGAAAAACCAAGTCACTATGTTACTATTCTTAACCTCCGTATAACATGTATAACGTGCGATTGGGAGTAAATGAATGTTTTCTTTGCTAAAAAATATTTCATGGTTAGACATTTAATTTTCCCTTCTAAAATATACCTGTTGAAAGTGAACATGTATACTAACCCTTTCATGAAATAAAACTAAAGAACAGATGATAAATTCGAGTTTAGAGTAATGGTATTGCTAGCTTTACCCACAGAATTCGTAAAAGTGAAAGCAATGTAGGCAGTAAATATTTGACTTAAATGTGTTTGAAGAAATGTGGCCAAGATGTCTTAGCGCATTAGTGAGAAGGTATTGTTTGCACCCTCTTCTTCCGACACGCTTGAATTAAATTAATTTTCCCTTACATTGCTTTTAGCAGATCTTAGTACCGACAATTTACTTTATTATTGTAAAAGTGAACCCAAAGAGAGCGTTAGTGTTAAATGCTATATATAGATATAATTCTTCTCTGGTTACAATTTAGTATACTGTATCTGTAGATTTGGGATAAGGAGTTGGAAATGAGAACTCATATGATTAAAAGAACTTTTCGGGGCGAATTTTGTTCTATTGACATTCCTCCAGCTAATTTTAAAACAAAGGAAAAAAAGTCATGGACTTCTCAGTTCGAATCTCGGTGCGAATCTTATTCTTGTTGACAATACTCCAGCTGAATTTTAAAACAAAATAAGAAAAAAGCTATGAACTATTCGGTTCGAATTTCAGTGCGGTTCTTGTTCTGTTGACCAATTCTCCAGCTGAATTTAAGCAAAATAAGAAAAAAAGTAAAAGTTACGATATGACCCATGCATGCACACTTTAAATATCAGGCTTAAAGATAAATAATTCGATCTCAAGAGTCAACGTAAACAATAAATGAAGAATACACTGGATAACCCAGGAAAAATTAACCAATTTATAGTACATTTATATAAATAAAAAATGTTTCAGAAAGGTCTTTGAACGAGCAGTAAACAACAGAATATAGTATAAACGTATCGGAACGTAATTACTGAACTTCATGTCTTAATTGTTATCTATCCATACATTATGAATTCATGAGTATGAATTTGATCACTTGATCAGGTTTACTTGGTAAAAGAAATCTGCTGAATATCACCATAATCAAGGATGTGCTGAAACTCGAAACCCACAGTCACTATTGATATGACAAAATTATAGTATTTAACAACAGTTGAAACGATTAAAGTGTAAAAACGTGTTTAAGATGCAATTTTATTTTTTACTTAATGTGGGCATAATTTGTTTTTTAAAGCACAAAGCTTTAAAATTAAAAAGAAAAAAATATAATTGTATTCTGACGGTTTACAGTATAATTCGTTTGAATTATATAATTGTGCGTTTTAGGTATTTCAATGGTTCAATTGCCGTATAAACAGCAATAAAATACTTACTGGTCGTTAACATCCCTGGATGTAATTTGACTGATAGCAATGAGTAAGCATTTTCAGCTTTGATTTAAATAAAGAAATACAATTTATAGGGGAATAAAAATAAAAGATGTAGAAAACATATGGCATAATATATATGTCTGTTCATGCATATCATACTCGTTGTGCACCTGGTCCAAATTTGAGCTGTTACTCTTACCTTCTTAGATACCATAGACATTAAGGCCTTACATGATCAGAGAAAGAAGTTATAGTATGTAACGTCAGTGAGATGTAGCAACCCAAAGACACGCACCAAAAAAAAAACCCATCAGAATTGCAACTGCAACTATAGAGGTCAATAATCTACGGTATTCAACATAAACAGGTGTCAATACAATATATGTCAAGCTTTTAATCACATCTAGTCTAAAAGGAGTTACTACATTTAACGCCAAACTTTGCAAATGACTTATAATAAGAAATGCATGGAACCTGGCCATCTTCGACAATGCAAAATATTTAAAATCCATTTAAAAAGAAGCCTAGCGAAAAATGAACAAAGAATCCTAAGGGATTGCAATGTAAATTGTAACGATATGTATTTTGACATGTGATTATTCATCTTCGTCAACGCCGAAATTAAAATATCGACATTATTTGTTTTTGAAATTTTACCGAAAGAATATCTTCGAGTCAATAATAGAAGAAAAACTACCTAAGATATCATATTATATTTTACAGTTGGTATATGTTTTGGTAAGAATTCTCGTAAAGACCGTACTAAGTATAAAACGTTTAAATTGGGATGTCTTTTGTTAATTCGTCGTATTTTTACGACGTGTGGGAGACATGTTATTCATTGCATATTGCAGCTTTAAATGTAAACCTGCTTGACGTCAGACGTACGACATAACTTCCGTAACCACACGTGTGCGATTGGATTGTAAACGCTATTATATTTACATTCTTCTTTCGCGGGAAACCACAGAAATAATGTCATACTCTTTGAAATTTAAACTTAAAACGATTGGAGAAATATAGATGTTATCAAACGGTTCATCGGTGATTGTACTATTAAAACTCATTTACGGAAATGCAAATGACATTCTTGTCTCGTTGCGCATTACGCCAATGGTAACGCCGCCTGAGATGTTGAAAGTGACAGATTTCTTTGCCATCAATGGCCTTATGAATTACACATAAATGATATCAATTCATCATGATTTTCATGAATATTTGAAAAGTTGTTCATCACGTTAATCAACTTGAACAAAAAGACAGCATAATAAATAGATCTATATAAAAAAAAAAAAAAAGAACAAGAAATGTCAGAGTTGTTGAGTAAGGGTGAATTAATGCTCTTAAATCTCCCCCGAGTGTGTTATATAAGAAATAACTACAGATTTACCATTATCAGTAAATAATCAACTGAACAAACTAACGAAGAAGTTTCTGACTTGTGACAGACATATTTAAATGTTGCGAAATTAGAATAGTAGTCTTGAAAGTACTCAACTTTCCTCTGTTATATATCTCGATCATTGTTACAACAACAGTATTCAGAGAAAAACTCACAAAAAAAGCCTGAAGTATAACAAAGTTAGCTAATCGAAAAATGCATGCAACTATGCTGCATGAATAAGATCTTAAAGTACGTTATAAATTGATTGAAAACAACGCCTTCGTAAACTCGTCTATCTTCGGAAAAACTCAGACTAAAAGCCACAAGTAAAACAAAAAACTAGCTATTATGCATATAGGCAAATACGACCAGAAAGTACTTTCGCGATTGATTAAAAACCACGCCTTCTTAAAATATACTCTCGATTAAATTATTATATACATTTCACTATGAAAATTTTTCAAAAAGGAATAATGAAGTGAAATTGAGTAGTGTAAAGTGATATATCGTTTTGAACAACTTGTATACAGAGAGTCGTGCAGGAAGACAAACCCATATGGTAACATGTTTGTACATGATGTACGAGCCAAACAAAACGGAATGACAAATAATTGATTAGACAATCTATAGACTTATAAAAGTATGATAGCTGCACACGTTGCATGCCTTTTTTTTTGCATAAAACACAGCTGTCCACAGCTCGTGAATTGTCGATATGGAAAATAGAGAATAACTATAACGAAGAAGTTCGATCTGCATGGTTCCGTCATTTAAAGCATTGGGTTTGTTTCTGTTGTCAACAGCTGAGCACTGGTTGACTGTGAACATATTGAAGGAGAAAACTTTGAAATGCTAACGTTTTAACCACAACAAGAGGAAACTGGATTTTTTCAATAAATTAAAGTCAGTTTAATTTTAAGCAGGTGCATTATAATAATAATTTAACGTTCTGTTGTACCACATTTTACCATCAGTTTTTTTGCACGTGCCATTCAGGTTGATCTTAATACCGAATAGGTATATAATAAAAGCATACAGAACATGAGAACATGGAATACAATTTGATTATGTATACTTATAAAGTTAAACTATTTTATGAAAGGAGTTTTTAAGGTGTCAACAAACA